CGGGGCTTTAGCTTGTATTCATTACACATAACACCCAATCACATTTTTAAGTATAATGTATACAAGCTGAAGCCACGCCTATTTATTGATTGCAGATGTCAATCATAATTATAATGCTTGAGCAAACATTTATACAAACAAAGCAAGCAAGCCAACCAAACCTTGAAACTACAAGCTTTAGGAAAATAGCTCTAAATGAACGAGCCTATTTCATCAAATAATTGTATAACTGTGAACTTGAATTAAATCATTGCACAATCATACAAAAAAGGCTAAATGGTGATGACCTCGGAAAAGATGATTTTCTTTTGTGAACAAATCTTCATATCTCCCTCAAAAAATGTATAATATCGCAAGAAACAATACATTTTAAAACATATCTAAACACATATGCCTATAGAGGTGTCAGACCACCAATTCAAAATCCATATTTGTACGACTTTGCCCCCAGCAGAGCTATAGAAAAACAGTACATTAACGGGTGTTACACGGACACTTTTTTTGAAGATACACGTACACTTTTTAGTTGTTACACGGACACTTTTATGAATAGAATCACTCGTGCATGATCAGTGAGTTCATGGGCACTTTAAATTTCAATTAGATTTGAACTTTTTGTTTCACCGACATATTTCTTGTCTTTTTTATTAAAATATTTACGTTGGCATCAATAACTATATTTTTTTCAAACAATTCCAGTATATTACTATTCTAAAAATACTACAATCGCTATTATTTTTAATAACAAAAATCGTGGTTACCCTTCTATCTATTATATGTTTTGGAGTTTAGTGTGACGTCCATTTTCACTGAACTAGCACACAATTTTAGTTAGGGGCCTGCTGAGGACCACCTCCGGGTGCGGGATTTTCTCGCTGCATTGAAGACCCATTGATGGCCTTCGGTTGTTGTATGCTCTTTGGTTGGGTTGTTGTCTCTTTGACATATTCCCCATTTCCATTCTGAATTTTATTTTTAACAGAGTTTGTCTTTAGTGCCGTGTGGAGACAAGTAGAGTGCCTCCCCGTGCTTCAGGTTTATGCTCTTATATTATACTAGTTAATGGAGTGTTTGTCCGAGCGAGAACATCTCTATGTTCATTACTTTAGGAATATTTATTCAAAACACAGTTTTCACTATTCAGCCCCATTCTACTGTTAAGTCAGACATCAGACGCTACCCTGATATACACTGTCTTTTGTTTTTTGTCCTCAAGTTTTGTTGTTAACGTATTTTGTCGGGTACTTAATGACGGATAGCGTTTGATGTCTTTAGCCGAACAGTTTTATCATTCATGTTTACTTTTTTATATTCCTGTTTGCTGGTTCATATTCTGGACGCCATTCTTTGCTCCTTTCAATTGGTAAAACAGATAACAAAAACAAATCATGAAACTTCGAAATGGAAAAACACTTAATACTAAACTCGTTCAAAGGGTATCTACACGTCTCAATCTTCAAAATCGATTATCTAAAAATACTACAATCGCTAACATTTTTAATAACAAAAATCGTGGTAACCCTTTATCTATTATATGTTTTTGGAGTTTAGTGTGACGTCCATTTTCACTGAACTAGCACACAATTTTAGTTAGGGGCCTGCTGAGGACCACCTCCGGGTGCGGGATTTTCTCGCTGCTTTGAAGACCCATTGGTGGCCTTCGGCTGTTGTCTGCTCTTTGACATATTCCCCATTTCCATTCTCAATTTTATATCAGTACATTAAGGGATTGACCATATAACTTCAAAAGGGGAGTTATGTTTTTTTCCTAAAAAAATATTCTGATCCCCAATTTTATGAGAAAAAAATATATTATGGTCAATCAGATGACAAATTAATGTTCTGATTCCTGATTTTCCAAAACAAAATATTTGGGTGATAGCGTTGAAAAACTAAATCATTTTCTTACTCAGAAAAAAAAAACAACATACCCCCTCATCCTTTGAAGCTAAATAAAAATGACAGGAAAACTATAATGACTATAAAACATGTTTAACCCTGCCGCATTTTTGCGCCTGTCCCAAGTCAGGAGCCTCTGGCCTATGTTAGTCTTGTATGTTTTTTAATTTTAGTTCATTTATATGTTGTGGAGTTTAGTGTGACGTCCATTTTCACTGAACTAGTACACTTTTTTATTTAGGGGCCGGCTGAGGCCCGCCTCCGGGTGCGCGATTTTCTCGCTGTATTGAAGACCCATTGGTGACCTTGGGCTGTTTTCTGCTCTTTGGTCGGGTTGTTGTCCTTTGACACATTCTCTGTTTCCATTCTCAATTTTATTAATTTATCGATAATACATTTATGGTCATGAGACATTTTTCATTTACTATAAATAAGTGACTTAGTCAATATATTTAAGGTAGAAAACTTTTATTTGAGACAATTTATGGAATTGGGGCGTATTTATGCAGTTTTTACATAAGGCTATGCTATCTGCCAAATACATGGAATGATGCAATAATATAACGGGTAAATAATTTCATAAAATCTTCATGTCAACAATTTTTTTTTGACAGCAAACAACCTATATTTACTGTTTAATATCACAGAAACAACTTACTTACAGTGCATTGATAACAAATCCAGACATTATATTTAGATGCATGATTTTTTTATTAGTTGTTATTTGCTTTGAACTAGCTGTCTATTACTGTGAGTACTCTCAGATCTGTACTAAGTGTCTTTTTTGTTGTGGGGATATATAAGTACCCTGCTACGTCCGGTCTGTATTTTTGTTAGATGTATTCTGGCTTTGTATCGATCTGATGAGTTAATCCCTTTTCAATGAATTTTTATAGTTTGTCCTTATGTTGTACTGTCACTACACCACTGTTTCAGGTTAGGGGAGGGTTGGTACCTTCAGACTAGTTTAACCCCGCCACATTCTATATGTTCCAGTCCCATGCCAGGAGCTTGTAATTGAGTGGAGGTTGTTGTTTGTTGCAGTTTATCATATTTGTTTTTCATTTATAATGTTTTGTATAGTGTGTTCTTGTGTTGTGCTGTTGCACCACTGTCCAAGGTTAGGGGGAGGCTTTGGCGCCATCTTACTAGTTTAACCCCGCCACATTCTGTATGTGTCTGTCCCAAGTTAGGAGCCTGTAATTCAGTGGTAGTTATTTGTTGCTGTATATCATATTTGTTTTTAGTTCATTATTTTGAACAATCAGGCCGTTAGTTTTCTCATTTGAATTGTTTTACATTTGTCATTTTAGGGCCTTTTAAAGCTGACTATGCGGTATGGGGTTTGCTCATTGTTGAAGGCCATACAGTGACCTATAGTTGTTAACTTCTATGTCATTTGGTCTTGGGTGGAGAGTTGTCTCATTGACAATTATACCACTTCTTATTTTCATAGTGCAAGGGTAGAAAAATTTAAAAATAGCACAAATTCAGGTTTAAGGCTCTAATCTGCCAAAAAAATGTTTCTCTGCTTTTAGCTTTAAAGTTGTCAGATGACTAAATCAAAACCCCTATATACCGGTAATAAACCCAATTTTTCAATTTTCACAGCTTTCGCAATGTTTTATCTTAAGGAAGTACACCTCTGAGAAGCCAAAAATTTCTAGAATTAAACTTTTTTTCGTAACCTGATTTTTGTGTTTATATGACTGTAAGAATGTAACTGAAAATCATATAGTGGTGCACATCACAATTTCACAATTAAACTTTTTTTCATATTTTCACTAAAGATGAAGTGGACCAATCTGAATAAAGGAGTAGGCTGGTAAGACTCCTTTTTGGCCCCAAAATATAGCATTTTAAAATTTTCTTAAAAATATAAACTTTTAGCTTTTAATTGGAAGGTAAAATACTTCTGTTACACAAATATGGGTTGTTTTTGGCAATAAAATGCACATGTATCAGGTACTAGCAATATAAATTCATGCAAAATTACTGAAGTCTTCATAATTTTACCATTTGCGCTAATTTTTAGACGATTTTTGTCTAAAATGGAAGTGGCTGCACTTGTGTTCAGTCTTTATATTTATATGTATGTTGTATTTGATGATAATACATAACATATGTAAAGGTTGAGGCTGAACATGAATGCGACCACTTCCATTTTTGACGAATACCATCTGAAAAGTGACATTTTGTGGCATATTTGGTAGTTTTTCATATTTAAGCTTAAATTTGAGCGTCTTTAATGACCAAATCAGTTCAAATCTTTTACATTTACTAATTGAATGGACTGAAGTAGACACGCAAGTGTTTAAAAAATGTTAAAAATCTTTCATCAAATGTACTTCGAATTTTAGGCCAGAATTAGCCCTTACCGGACATTCTCCTTTAACTAAAGACAAAAATGTTTCCATAGTACACAGATGCCCCACTCGCACTATCATTTTCTATGTTCAGTGGACTGTGAAATTGGGGTCAAAACTCTAATTTGGCATTAAAATTAGAAAGATCAAATCATAGGGAACATGTGTACTAAGTTTCAAGTTGATTGGACTTCAACATCATCAAAAACTACCTTGACCAAAAACTTTTACCTGAAGCGGGCACTATCATTTTCTATGTTCAGTGGACCGTGAAATAGGGGTCAAAACTCTAATTTAGCATCAAATTAGAATGATCATATCATAGGGAACATGTGGACTAAGTTTCAAGTTGATTGGACTTCAACTTCATCAAAAACTACCTTGACCAAAACTTTAAACTGAAGCGGGACAGACAGACGGACGAACGAACAGACGGACGCACAGACCGAAAAAAAACATAATGCCCCTAGGTGGAGCATAAAAACAACAGAATATAGGATGAATGCAGGGACCAGAAAACATAATGCCCATCAACTATCGTAGGCGGGGTATACTTATTTGTGTGCAATCTATTCAAATGTCCATCAAACTACAAACTATTATTTAAACCTATCATAGTTAAATATGTAATAGTTTTCTATTTTCAGTTTAATATGGCCTAGTTGCAAGCAAAATCTGTACCTATACCTGATATAAAATCTCACCTACATACAAAAGAAAAAAGAAGAAAACATGTACCAGTTTTGTAATATATTCTATTTTAAAATTATGCACATATACTACACAAACTGTTGCATTAAATTATTTTTGCAAATGCAATTAAAACAAGAGGCTCTCAAGAGCCTGAATCACTCACATGTAATTTTTTGCTTAAATCTTTCATCAATGATTATTTTTGCTTTTCAATATATATTAATGAATGGCTTAAAACTTCCATTGAAATGTTCTTTGTATCTGTCATATTTTCTTCAAAATCAAAGAAATGCATTTTACCCCTATGTTTCATTTCAGCCATCGTGGCTATGTTTCTTGACGTACAAGAAAATAAAATACAAAATTTATACTAGATACTCTGAAACTCATTCAGCCCAAGTTTGGCTGAAATTGATTCAGCAGTTTCAAAGGAGAAGATTTTTTTAAAGTAAGCAAACTAAACGAACAAATTGTGAAAAATTGATTTTAAAGGGCAATAACTCCTTAAGGGGACAATTAACAATTTTGGTCATCAAACTTATTTGTAGATCTTACTTTGCTGAACATTTTTGCTGTTTACAGTTTATCTTAATCATTAATAATATTCAAGATAATAACCAAAATCTGCAAAATTTCCTTAAAATTACCAATTAAGTGGCAGCAATCCAACAATGTGTTATAAGATTCATCTGAAAATTTCAGGGCTGACAGAGCTTGGCCTAATAAACATTTTTACCTCTCATCAGATTAGATCTAAATGCTTTGGTTTTTGAGATATAAGCCAAAAATTGCATTTTACCCCTACATTCTATTTTTAGCCATGGCAGCCATGTTATTTGACGAAACAGTAAATAAAACACAAACTTTATTCTAGATACCCTAAGCATCATTCAGCTAAAGTTTGTTTGGAATTGGTTTAGTTGTTTCAGAGGAGATGATGTTTGAAATAGTTTACCCCAGACGGACGACGACAGACGATGACGGACGCCAAGTGATGGCAAAAGCTCACTATTCCTTTGGAACGGTGAGCTAAAAAGGCATTAAACAATTCATTTCTGCTAAAAAAATCTTGCATTTTTATCTGCCAAATTTATCAATTGGATAAAACAAATGTCATGTATGTAAAATCAATACATCAGTACATGTAAAAAATCTGACTTATTCAAGCAATTTAAAAAAATTACAAAATAAACATATAAAACTTCTGAATTGCTGAATACTATTTTTCAGTATTTGCTATTAATGAATTCAAAATCAATTTGCATATAAAAATCTTTACAACATCACTATCTATGAAAAGTAACAATAAAAAGTCTGCTCAAAATGTATATGTAACCTGTTTCCCACACTACCATGCTTTTATTTTGAGAATGACTCCTTCATTTGAATTAAATCTCCCTAACTCAGGATACATCAGATTTGCATGTTTCGACCGTACCGATAATTGTACCTGTTCACAAAAATATTCTTTTAAAAAAATATATAAAGACAAAACAACTTCTGTTAACATAACAAGCCAATTCCTAAGTTGGTTTTAGCAACGATTTGTATAGAATAAAATTCTTGTTTTAAGTTATTCACTGTTTTACAGCATAGGCTATAATTGTAGTACTACATATATAATTTTTTGCTAAGGGGAGATAATTCCATGGTCAATTACAATCATTCAAACAATTAAGTTCATTCTACATGTATCTTATTTTGAATTATTTGAAGTCAGCAGTGTTATTAAACATGATGTAAATTAAATATATAATTTTTTACATCCTTGACCTTTACTTGACATCTTCTTTCATATCTATTACTTATATTTAGCAAAATGGAGGGTTATTACATGTGAACCAACTCCAACCAAGACACAAATAGGCATTGCTTGTTTCTGACTGTAAATTAAAAAATCAAACGGTACTTGTCAAAAATTATATTTCAATCTTAATATGCTGAACCATTGGAATTTAGTGACAAATAAACATTATAAACTACAAAAATCAAATTTTATGACGACATGAGATTTGCTTTTTTTATTTTTACCTTATATGACTGCTAGTTTGAATGTATATATATATAGCAGTTCTCCAAATAATGAATTTTCATATGGTAAAAAAATTCTGTCAAAAACTTCATAGAGTGGGGTGCTCATTTTGCCATAATTTTCCATGTTTTCTGCAGTTTATGTTCAGATCTTTAAGTTTTGAAGTATACTGATATTTCTATATGAAGATAACATCAAAAGCAAACTATTCTTCGCTTGAAAACGTGTTTCTCTGAAAAAATTCATCTGAAAAATTAGATTAAAGGCTATTTGAAATTTCCTGATGATTGTCATAGGGGGACAGATATACGCCGTTTTTACACATCTATTTAAAACCAAATAACTGCAGCATTAAACAATATTTATCAAATCAATTTCCTTATAGATGAATAGCAGACATTTCAAAGATGTAAAGAACTGAAATTTAGGGCAATCAGTCAAAGAATTACTAAGAAATACTTCTTTGAAATCTTTTTTTTCATTTAGGAAATTGGCCGAAAATCGTTGTCCGTTTTTCGGTCCTTTGCGGTAAGTGCCGAAATTTTTTCTAAGTTTAAAAAATTATCCTTTATGTTATAAAAATATAATTTACCAGCATATTTCTTCCATTTCAGCAATCCTTTGAAGTTTCTACACCTCAAAATCATAAAACGGCAAATATATGCGCCCCATTCTACACAGTAGGAAAATGGCAAAAATTAAAATCTTTTTGAGAGTACGGTAAATATAGAACAAGCCCAAATAATTAGAACTGAAATGACAAATTTGGTCTTTCCAGTCTTTCAGTCAATTTTGATTAATTTCCATTGTAGTAAATTAAATACTTTTAGTTTTTAGACACTTTGCTTGCAGTCACTAAACATTTCCTTATATCAAAATAAAAAGATGTGGTATGACTGCCAATGAGACAACTCTCCACCAGAAACCATATGACCACATTAACTTTAACATTGAAAGTATGCAAATGTTTCAATGTCCATGAACCATGACTGATTGGGCTGGCCATTTAGTCTCAATGGAAATGGGCAGTGTTAACAAAACAAGCTCCTGAGACGTGTCTGTGATCATTTGCAAATACCATGGACTTACTAATAAAGTTTCATTTTAAACTGACCTATATATTATCACTCACTTTAACATGTAAACTAATCTATGCAAAACATTCAAATTCAACAGACCATGACAGAGGGAGCAGGCCCTGGATATGATATGTGCAAATGTTAATACAACTGCATACCAAATGCCATTGACCAATAGTGGTTCCCATAAACTGACCTAATCACAAACTTTAAACATGTAAACTAAGCAAAATTTTCAAAGTCAATAGACTATTCTTGAGGGGGGCGGGGTCATATCATCTCCATGAAAATGAGATGTGCCAATGCTAACACAACTGCATACCAATTATCATTGACCTGAAACTTGTGGTTTCCCTAAAACTGACCTAATCGCATACACTGTTGACACTACTGTCCTGGGAAACAACAAACCTTTGTCTCGCTTTCATGACTTTGTCAAGACAGGACAAAAGAAATGAATGTCTTGATGAACAAACCTTGTTTGACTGCAAGAAAGTATTTTTTTGTTCTGGAAACTAGATATTAGTAGCAAACAGATTTTTATCTATTGACCAGTGCAGCTGACCATTTTAAATACTGAACTGCTGACAAGTACATTACATACTACGTGGGACAAATCTTAAGTAGTCTTTACTGACAACACAGTGTAACTAAATACAAATGTACAGAACTCATTCCTGAGACATGTGCCTCTGATCACACTATACAGGATAAAAGAACACAATATTTGAGACATCTGTTCTAAGAGATCCTTGAAACTTGACTGTATTATCTTCGTGTCACCTGTTATTGTTACCATCTGATGATAAATGCATGAAATGACCCTGTAAACAAAGCAAAAACTTATATTAGTTATAGAAAAGATTATCTCCCTTGTAATTAAGGTAACTTTATTACCCACAATGACACAGTTAAGTTTTCAGCAGCCATGTTTTGTGTTAGAATTCTGATACACACTATTCTCTTAAAATTCTGTTTGCTACTCACGTCATATAACAAAAATATATGAAAACAACAAATTATTTTATCAAATCTACATGAAAATATTAAACTTTCCATGTTGATTATTGAGTTACAAAATGGCTGGTGAATATCTGATCCTTAAATCTGTAAGAGTCAAACTATTTAATGGTAAAAGAATTAGTTTAATCAAAGAATAACCTTTCTTTTAAACCTAAAATGAAATGCATGTAGGTATGAAAACTCGACAGTTCACTGTTAAATGTTTCACAGTTTTTAACTTTTTTTTTAAATATTTTTAAACTTTGAATGGATACAAAATTTAAACTGTGCCCTTAGTTAAAATACTGCCACAACAAATAATACTTTTCATTTAGATATATCTTACCCCTTGTCCAGCTAAACACTGTCGACAATTATGTTGTTTGACTGGTAAGGTCTGAGGATTTCTGTCACATTCCGTTTCTGTATTATTATTACTGCAAATATTCTGAAATAGAAAGCCAATGTGTTACTTTGAGGGAAAAACACATTTATTTACAACATGTATTAAGAAAAAAAAAACATGCTTGCATATATAAAAGATGTAGTTTGTGTAGTCTTGTCATCTAATTGTTGGTATAGACTACTTGAATGACTGTTGAATGATATGTAATGAGTTTGATATAAATTGTTATGCTTCCATGAATCATAATGACTGGACATGTTGACCAAATGCTTTTAAAGAAGGAAAAAGAACTTTAAAAAGAAGACACTCCAACAGAACCAGTTCCTTTGAACTTCCAGCTTATAAATAAACACTCAAGAGTTTGGATAGCTCCAGGTTGAAATTAGATAATGTATTTACACTTGTAGAGAAATTTCACTCATAACCAGAGCACAATTGGATTACATTATTCTCATGGGCCAATAACCTTTTTAAAGTCAGCACAAGTTCAAGTGTATGTTCAATGTGTGTGCTTACTTTCAAAATGTAGTTTTGTATTTTATGATTTTGAATAAATGCCAAAGAGAAGCGAAAGATACCAAAAGGACATTCAAACTCATAAGTCTAAAATAAACTGACAAAGCCATGACTAAAAAAGAAATCTTCTTTTTATATATATCATATACATATATTGTAGCAAATCATGCTCTTTTGAATTAATGAACTTTTTTGTCAATCTTGTTTTATGTCATATAGAAAATCAAGCTTGAACTCTGGCCTGTTATAAATGTAAAAATGTAAATCGCTTTTTATTGAAGTGTGAAAAATATTCCAACTATAGAATATAAGCTTTAATAGTATTATTAAATATACTGACTACAAGTCATATTTAGAAAAAGGTAAATACGAAATGTTCCATTAATAGCAAATTATTCTTTAAAAGTCAGGAAAATGACTAGTTCTTATATATGTAAATGTCTAATCTATAGAAATGAGATTTTATCTTCCTAATTATAACATATCATTTCATTATGATATATACATTGTAATAATGTATTGAAATATGGCCCATTGGCAAATACTGTATATGTCAATAAAAATATTTGTATATATGTATAAGTAAGTTTATAGTACATGTATCAGTGTGTGTGTGTCTTAAAAAGCATGAACATTTTCTTTTGACAATGAATTTGCATTGTACTTACAGTTTCCATTGCTTCATGGTTGGTTGCTCTATCAAAAATTTCATGACTTTTATTAACTGGTAGGTGTGTTAACTCTCTCTAAAAAAAGTATATGGACAAGTATTAATAAACTAAGTATCCTGAGTATCTGACAGAAATATACACTGCTTCTAGTGTGTTACAATATTTCTCCACTCCAGACAGTTAAATATAATATTTAAAGTGTAAGGTTTGCTGAGTTTTTTTAAATAATTAAAATTTAACTGTTGGGAGTGGAGAAATATCGTTATACACAAGTTAAAGTGGTGGAATCTGTTTCTCTAATGATTTTCAGACGATATCTAAACAAACTTTATCCTTCCTTTTCAAAGATTTGCAGAAAGTTGTGTTCTTTATATGTGACATCTTCAGGCATGGTTGCCTTTTTTTCATGACATCACAATAGCAAATTTAGAAGAAAGCAAGAAAATTTGACCTCATAATTAAATTTCAACCAATCATTTGCCAAGAACAAAGTTTTCTCTAGAGTTGAGAAATATTTTTCTCACACCGACCAAGAAATGCGGAAAAAGCATGAAAATAAGAGAAATAATTGTCACATGTGCACTTTTTTCTACAATATTTAACACCAAACTTAGCTTTTAAATACCCAAATAGTGTTCATTAGTCCTTATGTAGAAATAGCAATAATAATTTTTTTTACAATGGTACATGTACAAAGTTTATTTCTAATTTTTCAGAAGAAAAACATTTCTTATTCTACTGTAGATACAATGTATGTATACACTCAAAATTACCGTAAAAAAATATTGTTGAATAAAGCTTATTTGTTTAAATTTCTGAACTTAAAAAAAAAAAAAAAATGTTGATAGTGTACACAGATGATGCCCCCGCTTGCATATCATATAGTTATAAAGGGACATAACTGAAGAACGGTAAAAGTGATGCTACCCAAATTTGAACTTGATCTGAGTTTTGTGGTTTTAAGCATTGTGTGTAAGTCTCATGACATTTGGTTGAGGCTTACTTAAGTAGAGAACAGAAACTAAAAATTCAGCAATTTTTCTATTTGTAAACACGCATAACTCTAGAAAGCTTGTGTATAAGTTTTATAACATTTGGTTGAGACAAACTAAAGTTAGAGAACGGAAACGAAAAATTCAGCAATTTTTATGTTTATAAAGGGACATAACTCTAGAATGGTAAAAGTGTTGCCACCAAATTTCGTACATTATCTGTATTATGTAGTAATAAGCATTGTGTATAAGTTTCATAACATTTGGTAGAGGCAAGCTAAAGTTAGAAAACGGAAACAAAAAAATTGTTCTTGATCTTAGTTTTGTGGTAATGAATATTGTGTATAGGTTTCATAATGTTTGGTTGGGGCAAACTTAAGTTACAGAATGGAAACTAAAAATTTTGCAATCTTTCAATTCATAAAGGGGCATAACTCAATAATGATTAAAGTGACACTACCCAAATTCAACTTGATCTGTGTTTTATCAGTGGAAGTCAAAATTTAACATTGCATTGTATAAAGCATTGATTGTAGTTGATCCAACTATAATCATGGACAAAGGAAGATAACTCCAATTTAAAAATTACTTGATATTTAGAAGAAAATTTTTTTTTGCAATTTTTCCATTTCTAAAGGGGCATAACTCTAGAATGGTTAAAGTGACGCCACCAAAATTCAAACTAGATCTGTGTTTTGTGGTAATAAGCATTGTGTATAAGTTTCATAACATTTGGTTGAGGCAAACTAAAATTAGAGAACGGAAACGAAAAATTCAGCAATTTTTCCATTTGTAAAGGGGCATTACTCTAGAACAGTAAAAGTGACGCCATCAAAATTCAAACTTGATCTGTGTTTTGTGGTAATAAGCATTGTGTATAAGTTTCATAACATTTGGTTGAGGCAAACTAAAGTTAGAGAACGGAAACAAAAAATTCAGCAATTTTTCCATTTGTAAAGGAACATAACTCTAGAACGGTAAAAGTGACGCCACCAAAATTCAAACTTGATCTGTGTTTTGTGGTAATAAGCATTGTGTATAAGATTCATAACATTTGGTTGAGGCAAACTAAAGTTTAGAGAACGGAAACGATAAATTCAGCAATTTTCCATTTGTAAAGGGGCATAACTCTAGAACGGTAAAAGTGACGCCACCAAAATTTAAACTTGATCTGTGTTTTGTGGTAATAAGCATTGTGTATAAGTTTCATAACATTTGGTTGAGGCAAACTAAAGTTAGAGAACGGAAACCAATTTTGGGACGTACGTACACGTACGTACAGGGGTAAAACTTAATGCCCCCTCCGCTACGGCGGGGGCATAAAAAACGATCTTAATTTCCAAAAGATCTATAGTACTAAAATAATGAGGTCCAATTTGTAAGCCGGCATGACGTTAAAACAATGAATCAAAGAATTCAACTTTATATATAACTAATATAGGACAATGGTGTTGATTAAACACTACACCATTCAGGTCCTTTTATTTTCCACATATCTAATATTACCAATAACCATGATAACTAACAAGTTCTGAGTCGAATCCGATACCAATAGTACCTGTTACCTAATCTGTACATTCCGCCTCTGTCAGGCGCACCACCAGACAGTGTATTTTGGATTTGCTATATACATGGGTCATAATCACAACCGAACTTCGTCATTATATAATTTCTGATGATAACTGGAACTGAACCAGTACTGATTTTATCACCATTTGCAGTGATGAAAAAAAATCATTAATGCCCATCAAAATAAAAAAAAAAGATTTTTATCACTTTGACTTCGTTATCATGGTTATTGGAATAAAACATCCCATTTCAAATATCCACTACAAAACAAAAGTAGACATAGTCTGCACCAAAATCTTTTCCAACAGTGAACAACTAGTCCAAAGACCAATATTCAGACATTTTCCTAAGTGCCTAAACAAAATCGAGCAAATACTTACTAATCCAAATAATATTTTACTAGTCTTGGGCATCTAACTAGTGGCTAACAGTAAAGAATGTAAAAATAGGAAAAGCCATTATAAAAGCCAGAATCTTATCAGGAACATTCATCCTTTAGTTAACTTTGATAGAGCTAAATTAAATCAGTCTGCCAGCTATGTTGTTTATCCAATGAAAATATTACTCATTTTCTTCTAGACTGTCCACTTCTAGTGAAAACTCATACAACTTATTTTGAACTAATGAAAGAGGGAATAATACAAAATACTGGTACCTCGAATAATAATATAATAATAATAATAATAAATTCTTTATTTAAAGAGGGTAGACTCAGTTAGTTACAATAAACTAATCTTCCCTGAGGCCCTCACATACAAATTACAATACAATCAAAAACAGATATTTACACATAGTTAATTTACAGTCAATTAGTTCAATGTAATATTACTAACACGATAAGATATAAGGCTGTTCAAGATGCACATGTAGTCAAAAAATCAAATAAAAATAAAAAAAAAAAAATAAAGAATGACCAAATAACACTGTTATTATCCAAATAACACTTGTAATGACCAAATAACACTTGTAATGACCAAATAACACTTGAAATTTTAATATTAGCACATAGTGGTAACTTACATGTAGAAATGATTTACAGAAAGTATATAATCAATTTTTTTATTAAATTCAAATTAAATAATATTATGTGAAAATTCTTAATATTAAAATTTCAAGTGTTATTCAGATAATTTGTTACCCTACAAAATACTGTTGCCAAAGCCTGATTATTTAACAAGAAACTGGACACAATTTAATTAGGCTTATTATAGACTGTAGACACTTTACTCATCTTTTCTCTGATACCAACCTGATGGATACAATCGAAGTATCTACTAGGGAACTCTGCTACAGGCTTCACATCTAACGCTTGAAAATGCTTGAGGCAAATGGTTGGTTGATGGTCTAAAGCAAACATTGTTAGACCAACAGATAAAAGCAAAACACATTCAATGTTTAACCATCATCATTCTGTGTGAATATATACATATCATATTTTGTGTGTGTATATAAGAAAGTGTTTATAGGGGGACGAAGTCCCCTATTACAGTAGAAAAATCAATAAAAAAAAAAAAAAAAAAAAAAAATCGGGAAAATTTCCCGAAATTTTCATTGTACTAATGAACTCAAAATCGTTAACTTTTTTTTTGTAACTTTTTTTAATTCCCGCATTTGCGCAGAAACCTACTTCCTTCTTCCGGTCTCGTTTGTCATGAGACTTTGAGTGAAATATATATTTATCAGTCCAGTAAAATAAAAGGAACACAATAACAATTTCATTTCTAATTATTCTTTGATATGAAAAAACGTTACCTGATGATAGCGTTTCTTTGTTTACATTGAATATGATGTCATAACTAAAATAACGTCACAACTAAAATCCCTAACAACAGAACCAAAATCGGAAACGATACGGTATTTCCGTTTCTTTTTTAAACGATTTAGAACTTATAAAATATGTTTGAATTAATAAAAATAATTTATATAGACTTCGTCCCCTTTCACAGGTAATGCCTGCCTCATATTATCAACTTGATTTTACCTTTTAACGTGTACATACATGTACATTGTAGATACAATTTCTACTTGGATTTATCATTGGTGTTCCTTTTTACATTGTTTTAAGGAAGCTCATACAGAGAGAAGAACCACAAAATGTATTTCACTTTTAAAAATCTAGTTGATGCTGGACCTTAAAACTTTTCAAACTGCATTGGTATGTCTGTACTCAGGTAATTTTCAAGGTGTACATGTATATAATATTAATAAAGACAATAAGAATTTGGTTATGATGAACCTTCACTTGAACTTCAGTATGAAGGTCGTATCTATTTTCAATATAACATTCTTACCATAGGACAAAAGCATTTCACTTTTTCGTTTATGCTTTCATTTTCAGACACAATGACAGAATATGGTCTTTTCCTTGGACAAAACATTGTCGACAGAGCTAGCCAACCCACGCTTATTTTTAAATTCAACCGGAAGTAAATAAGAAAATAAAACCTGGAACGAATGCGGACAGAATTTGAAAGTAGAAGTTAAAGGTAAAAACGAAAGTAGGTATTTAGAGTCAAAGTGCATTTATTTTCAGTGGATTAGCTGTCCCAATATATAGTCGGGGATTCCTATAATTTATCTGGATGGAAAACACAGCCTTTGGATGAAAATCAGAGGAAAAGAGAAACAAAATTGAAACTTCAGAAACCGAGACAGGTAATTTTAACTTGATTCAAAACTGATTCATCATAGAACAAACGCCTCTGAATGCTGAGGACAGAGGTCAGAATGTGTTACTCATACTTTACAATTAATGATAAAAGTAACCATGGTGATACTATTTGTACAAAAATGGAAGTTACAATTTTATGTGTTTTTATATTATAGCATTCTGATTTTCCTAAAAATTAAAGGTTGTCCAACTTTATAAAATTAAGGAGATGTGGTATGATTGTCAATAACTATGAAACATCTTTCCACAGTAACAAAAATAGACAATAGAGTACAAAAGTTAGGTCATCATACAGCATTCAACACTGACCAACATTCTAGCTGATGTATGCTATAGACCAAATAAACAAATATGGCATCAGCAACAAACAATTATAAAAACTTGTACAATCTACTGACTTGGGACAGACACACAAAAAATATGACTGGGTAACTCTTAATGCTTGCAAGCTGTCCACCCTCCCTGAGCTGGAACAGTGGTTTTACATCACAACTTAAGAACAAACTGTAAAATTCAGTTGGTAAGGGCTTGATGTAATTATCAATCCATACACATCCAACAAATTTAGTATAAAGATGAAGTAAATAGTCTGAAAAAAACATAACGTTGTGCAATGCCAAAATATGAATATGGACAGGATGTAGGACAGAAAAACAAATTATATGACGGACAACAACAACAACCACTGAATTATAAGCTCCTTATTTTTGACAGGCTCATTACGAATGTGGCTGAGTTGAACTTGTTTGTAAGCTTTCAACACTCCCTTCTCAGGGAGAGTGTCAATGATGTTACAGAAAAACATAAGAACAACCTGTAAAAATCAGTTGGAAAGAGTTTGACTCATCAGATGGGCACAAAACAAAAAACAACTAACAAGAACACAAAAGACACAAAAAATACTGATCTAAGAGTATTCACAGTTACTAAAAGCTAGGTCAAAGCCTTGTCATATATTTTATATGCAAAATATCATCTTTGATTGCAATATATATTAAACTTCAACATTTTTCCACTTTTATTATAGCCACCATGATGTTCGATAAGTATCTTGCCCTTAAAGTGCTTCAGAAAGAGGAGGTGTTATTTAGTTCCAAACTAAATCCAGTGGAAATATTACCTCATCTTACTAGCATGTCAGAGATGAGCAAGGTAAAATGAAGGACTCAAGATATATAATAATCATACTATCTAGTATTTATTAAGCTACTGTAAAGTGGGGAATTTTCCGGAGGGGTTTACTTTTTTGCTTACTTCGTGAAGAATTACATTGTGTAAATCTTATCTTTCAGGAAGATAAGAATCAGATAGGAAACAGGTTTGATGCTAGTTATTGTGAAATTTAAACTCTGTGTATAAAAATGAACCACATTATAATATGTAGATCTGAAATGTTTCATCAAACCAGCATATAAAAAAATAAGCAAGATAAGGGGTGCACAAGGGGCGAGGTAAGAGAAAAAACACAACAGATACTATTTAATCACAGGCACTTGTCTCTGAAAAAAAAAACCTATATACTATAATGTTATATTAAAGTATATAGGTAATTTTTTTTAGAGACAAGTGTCTGTGTATTTAATTACATATGAAATCAATTTGGAATGTATCCATTGTAAATATCATGTCAAAATAAGCAAGGGAAGAAAAAGAACACAGCAAATAGTTTTTGAAAGTCCAAACAAGATCCAAACAAAATAATCACCTTGTCAGGTATTGAGAAAGGAAGATGTGCTTTGCATTTTCTACAACCAGTTTTGTGTGTTCCGCTCCACTGATTTGTGCCGAAATTACAGGCTTTGGACTTTGTAAATTTCGTGAAAATAACAGTTCTACAGACTTTCATTCTTAAATTTCCACTCCTAAAAATGGCTTCAAGCTAATTTTGCTAGCGGGGCCATTCATGTTGTTCCTACACACCTAGTTTATATATTCCTTTAATCTAATTTATTCTTTCTTTTACTATTTTTTATTCTTTCTGAATATGACTGAAATATTTGCCACTGCATGTCAAGCAAACACAATCATCATAATCTTTTGCAGCAAGATGTAAAATGTTAACAGAACAATATTGTCTTCCTGAACATGTCAGGTATTTAATCAGGGGAAGCAAAGTAAACAAAAATCAAATTTTATCTTTTGCAGCAAGAAATTAAATGTGAACAGAACAATAAGGGAGAAAAAATAGCTACGCAACATTTACTGAAAAGGATTCGACAACAAGATAAATGTTTGATAGAGTTCATTAGGGCTTTGAGAGATCCTGAAATTTGTCAAACAGATTTGGCTGATATGTTAGACCCCAATCATTTACTGGATACAGGTAAATTGAATTAAGTCACACAGTCTCCTTATTTTTATGGGAGATTTTGTGGCGGGATTAAACATGTTTGTGTACTCAATCCTCCCCTTAACCAGTGGTGTAACAGCACAACATTAGAGAAACAAAATCAATATTAGTACATATAAATAATACATATGAAATAAAAATTTGAAGATTTTACTTCTGTGTTAAATTAATAACTTTTGATGACAAGTTTATTCAAAGGATTACAGTGAGAGGTGTACTGAAATTTGGAAGTCTCTAAACTATTGATTCCAGTGGGTTTAAGCACTCTGTCAGTTGGAGGATCCAAAAATCCTCTCTTTTACTTCTAATGATGTCTGACCCAGGGTCATTTGGATCAGTCAAGAAAACTTTGATGATTTCAAAAGACATTGAAGTGTTTGCCAGTTGTCCGTTAAGGACCAAAACCAGTCAGGCTCTTTAATATCATCAGATGCTGTTAGTACCTTGCAACAGCATATATTTTCCTATATTTTATTCAATGTATTGATTAATTTACATGGATCATGTCTAAATTTATGAACTTTATAAACAACATCACCATAAGTTTAGGTTGAATTTTTGGTTTACAGTAGTTGGTGGTCACTTCAACCTGAAACTTTGTACATGTATATTCATAATGAGGTGAACTGTAATGTTTATGCCAAACAAGGATTTTGACCCAGATTCATAGTTAACTGTATATGGAAATTAGGTAAAATTTTTGGTTTAAGATAGGTTGATGTTTTGGTATAAAAAAGATTACAGTTTTGGTTAAAGGTAGTTTGTGGTCACATCAACCTGACACTTTGTACACATGTTCATTATCAATTGAACTTATTAATATATGAAACATGTTTTGACCAGAATTTTACACTTAACTGAACATAGAAATGCGATATTGCAAGTGGGGCATGTTGTCCTATGGATACATAATCTTGTTTCATATGAATTAAAAATGTATTTGATAATTTAGAAATACAAAAAAATGTGAATGGATTTTCAAAATATAAGAAACCTATTTTTTTTTTAAACTCAAATTTGTGTAGTTATTTTTAAGTGAGCACTACTCTCATCCCTTTTGTCACCACCTCTTGGTAGACATGTTTGTGCAATTGCTGTCTCAGTGACACATACATCTCTTATTCATATTGTATACTCTCAAGAATAACCAATTATTTAGATGGTTTAACATGGTTTTGATTGATGGCCACTATTGAATTTAGAAATTTCACACAGTCAATGTCTTTTGGTTTTATGTAAATCTTAAAGTTAATTGTTAGTACAAAGATACATTTTTGTTTTGCCTGTGACAGTAGCAGAATGCAAGACATAGGGATTACATTCAGGTGAATGGGTAAACTATTTGTATAAAGCTTTATATTTCAGATGGTAGAAGACCTGGATGCCTTATACCTTATATACAGATACCTTATATACAAAGTTTCTGTCTGTTATATGTCCATTGTCCTTGACCTCTTTTTCATGGTTCAGTGACTGCTTGAAAAAAATTTACAGTTCTTTTGTAAACATTTCTGTCAGGTAGGGTTCACCTGACCTCAACCTCATATCATGGATCAGTGACAAGGTTAAAAGTTACGTGGTCAAATTAGTATCTCAGATACTGTAAGCATTAGGTCAGCTATATTTGATGTATGATGTATGGAATGATTGTAAGGTTTACATTTCCAACTGGCAGATTTTATCTGACCTTGACCTCAATTTCATGATTTATGTGACAAAGTTAAGTTTTTGTGATTTGGTCTATTTCTCAGATATTATAAGCAATAGGTCAACTATATTTGGTGTATGGAATGATGGCAAAGGTGGTCATCAGGGTTCATATGACTTTGACCCCATTTTCATGGTTTATTGGTCAAGGTAAAGATTTTGTGGTTTGATCTGTTTCTCAGGTTCTATTAGCCATTGGACCACTATATTTGGTGTATGGAATGATAGTAAGGTGTACATGTCTGTCTTTCTGACCATGACCTCATTTTCATAGATCATTGATAATGTTAAGTTTATGTGATACTTGTTGTTAAACCATATTACAGACATTCAACATAAATTCAATGACAAGTAAAACAAGTGAGACATTTCAGTGTGTACACTCTTGTTTATACTTAAGATAAAAAAAATTGAAAATTATTTTTGGAGAGTGCAAATTAAGACTTCTGTGGCTTTTGAATGCAATGAAATTTAATAATTAATCATATCTCTTTCTTATCCCAAAAGTTATTGTGGAAGTTTCAACAATTTTGGAATTTATGTGTTTATTGGTGCCTAGATTAGGACTTATAATCAAAACCAAATTTTTTTGTTTAAAAGACAACAACTCAATGACACAAATTTCGTCCTTCTGTCCATGCATCTGTCCGTCCATCTTATTAGCACTCTCACATGTTCAATTCTTGACAGATTTTAATCAAACTTATATCATAGGATTATATCAGCATTGTATCAGACAAGTTCCAAAATTAGTGCAATTTTTGAAAGAGTTATGCCCCTTGGAAATATTTAGTTAATTGGAAAATTGCATTGTTAGTGCTCTCATGTGTACAATTCTTGCCAGATTGGTATAAAACTTATATTATAGGTATATATCAGCCATTTCTCGGACAAGTTCGTAAATCAGTGCCAATAAATAATTTTTCCCTTGGAAACATTAGTTATATGGAAAATTGCATTGTTAGCAATCTAACGTGTACAATTCTTGCCAGATTTTTATAAAACTTAAATCATAGGTTTATATCAGCAATATCTTGGACAAGTTCAAAAATCAGTACCGATCAATAATTTTTAAAAGAGTTATGTCCCTTGGAAATATCAATTATATGAAAAATTGCATTGTAAGCGCTCTCACATGTACAATTTTGCCAGATTTTTATCAAATTTATATCAAAGGTTTATGTCAGCAATGTCTTGGACAGTTTTGAAAATCAGTGCTGATCAAATATTTTATGAAAGAGTTATGCCCCTTGGAAATATTAATTATATCTGAAATTGCATTGCATTTGCTCTGAAGCCTTCATTTCTCTAAGATATTTTTTAAAATTTATAAGAAATTTTTAGTTTTTGCCAATGGACAGATAAAATATGTGCAACACAGGGGACATTGGAACTCTGTTCTTTTATCTTCTTCTTCTTTTAAATTTTGTCATGGGGGGTCTGTTTCTCTTCAATTTAAAGAGATTTGAATATCCCCTTGGTATCTTCCACCTATTTTTAAACTTATAGACTTCAATGAACTACTACAGGAAAAATAAAAGTAAAAAACCTTGTGCAATACAGGTAATTGAGTCAACAGATTGTCACAAAAGCCATCTAAAGTACACTTTTTTTTTATCAGGAAAGAAATGGGATCAGCCAGCTCCATCTGTACCATCAGAAACAAAAGCTGTTAGAGATACAGAGGCGATTACACCACCAATATACAATGGAGTAACACAGCTCAGACATTTACCGTTTTCTGTAATGAAAATTTTGCAAATTTTAGATTATAATGAAAAGTGGAAGGACCTTGCAGAATATCTTGGTAACATTATTTATAGAGTTGTAGTAATGTAATATGAATTGATTCTTACTCTAGGATGTAGTAATGTAATATGAATTGATTCTTACTCTAGGATGTAGTAATGTAATATGAATTGATTCTTACTCTAGGAATACTAAATTTTCCTGGATTTTTTTTGGATACAAGCAATGTTCTATATTAATTTTATGCTATTTCATTATAAATAAGTTTCTCATGGAGCTAGCCCAAATTTGGAAAAAGACTGATAGCATTTTTTGTCAAAAATTTTCACAATTTAGAAATCGCATGTGCTATCATTAAATTTCTCATAAATTAATTTTAAGAATACATCTTCAGTATGATAGTGTCTGATCTATACTAGATAAGTATAACATTTTTGCCTTATCTTGTCTGATCTCCTTTCTTTGAGACCAAGTACATGTATAACTTTAATTTGTCTTGTCTTATATTTTCCCCACTGTACGTGAAGCAAACAACAATCAATCAATCTTATACTTTTCCCTTTCTGAACACCTTCAATAAAATAGATTGGAAATTTTTCATTTATATGTTGAAAAAATAATATTTCTAGAAGGGATGTTAACGAGTACCTCAGTATTCGAGTATCGCTCTGTAGTACTGTGTATCGAATATCAAAACGATACTCGACTAATCAGTTTCCTGTTAGAATATTGCTGTTTTCTTCATATATAAAATTGATCTTCTTGAGAACCTCTTTCGAAAAATTAAATAGGCATTACTGATTAATCATACTAGTAAATAAAAAACATTTTGTTTGGAATGCTTGTGCCAATTTGTCATTTAAGATGCTTCCGGAAATACGTGGGCTATACCTAGGCTAACACTTTCAACTAAACATGTCTTAGCCATTCTGTCACATCTGTAACGTCAGAGCAAATATTTTCGTCTGCTAAATTTACAAAGTTGCAAAACCCAAAAATAGTTAACAAGAAAATGTTTCCAAATAAAAAAAATTTGTTGCATCCTCCGGTGACCCTCAGTGAAAAGTTAAACTTCTAATCCTTACACCTATGTAAACATTAAATTTGTTTTCTTAACAATTACCAAATACTATTGTTTGATATGGTTTTTCCTTGTTATAATTTTTAAATAGGTGTTCATTAAATTACATTGATTAGATTATTGTTTTTAGCTCACTTGTCGTCCGTCGTCATCGTTGTCGTCGTCCGTCGTCGTCGTCCGTCGTCGTTAACTTTTACAAAAATCTTCTCCTCTGAAACTACTGGGCCAAATTTGACCAAACTTGTCCACAATCATCATTGGGGTATCTAGTTTAAAAAATGTGTCAGGTGACCTGGCCAACCAACCAAGATGGCCGCCATGGCTAAAAATAGAACATAGGGGTAAAATGTAGATTTTGGCTTATATCTCTGAAACCAAAGCATTTATAGCAAATCTGACATGGGGTAAAGTTGTTTATCAGGTCAAGATCTATCTGCCCATGAAATATTCAGATGAATCTGACAACCCGTTGTTGGGTTGCTGCCCCTGAATTGGTAATTTTAAGGAAATTTTGCCGTTTTTGGTTATTATCTTGAATATTATTATAGATAGAGATAAACTGTAAACAGCAATAATGTTCAGCAAAGTAAGATCTACAAATAAGTCAACTTGACCAAAATGGTTAGTTGACCCCTTAAGGAGTTATTGCCTTTTATAGTAAATTTTTAACCATTTTTCGTAAATTTTTGTAATCTTTTACAAAAATCTTCTCCTCTGAAACTACTAAAACAAATTTAACCAAACTTGTCCACAATTATCATTAGGGTATCTAGTTTAAAAAATGTGTCCGATGACCCCGCCCGCGAACCAAGATGGCCGACATGGCTAAAAAATAGTACATAGGATAAAATGCAGTTTTTGGCTCATATCTCTGAAACCAAAGCAGTTAGAGCAAATCTGACAAGATAAAATTGTTCATTAGGTCAAGATCTATCTGCCCTGAAATTTTCAGACCGATCAGGCAACACTTTGTTGGGTTGCTGCCACTGAATTGGTAATTTTAAGAAAATTTTGCAGGTTTTGGTTATTATCTTGAATATTATTATAGATAGAGTTAACTGTAAACAGCAATAATGTACAGCAAAGTAAGATCTACAAATAAGTCAACATGACCAAAACTGTCAATTGACCCCTTAAGGAGTTATTGCCCTTTATAGTCAATTTTTTACAATTTTCATAAATTTTGTAAATTTTTGTAAATTTTTACAAAATATTTTCCACTGTTACTACTGGGCCAAGTTCATTATAGATAGAGATAATTGTAAGCAGCAAGAATGTTCAGTAAAGTAAGATCTACAAACATATCACCATCACCAAAACACAATTTTGTCATGAATCCATCTGTGTCCTTTGTTTAATATGCACATAGACCAAGGTGAGCGACACAGGCTCTTTAGAGCCTCCAGTTTACTTAATTAGTACTTGTAGGTAGGGAGCTATTAATTATGGTGTGTAATTCCTTGTCCCAGATACTTATGTCCCCGGCAGATGGTTTTTCATCTGTTGATCAACAAACCACTGAATGTAAAATACGTATTTTTGTGTTTCCATGTTGTAGATATATTCCTGAGCGAGTACTCGAGTATCGATTGACAAACCCAACGAGTACTCGATTAGTTATTAATCACCGAGTTGACATCCCTAATTTCTAGACATAATTCAATATCTAATTTTCTTACGTTATGGGGATCCAGCTGAGATACTATCTAAGCTCTGTCATAGTTGGAATTTCACTGTGTTCTCTTAAATCTGTAGAAGAGATTGCATACTTCTACAACTTTTCTGTCATGTATTAATGCTAAAAAATCAGGAGGACTAAAAATGAGTTTGTTATAAATTTAATAATAAAGGTAAAAATATTATATTTTACAGGATACACTGTTGAGGAAGTCCAGCATCTACAGACTACACCGAAAAGTTGTACAGAAAAGTTAATAGCCAACTGGTCTAGTGGGGATAAGCCAGTTCAAGCTACTGTAGAAAACCTTTTCAATGCTTTAGATTTCATGGAAAGGAAAGATATCATGCGTGATCTTGAACAAATATTGAATTATAAATTCAAAAAGCAAGAGTCAGAGAAACCTGGATTAAGTTTTGTTGCAATGGAGCCAGTCATTGACATTCAGGAAAGAAAATCACATGACAACAAAGAAACAAGCTTGTATGATAGAACAAATATGAGCAAAACACCAACTGAAGTAGGTGATATTTGTCAAAGTATTGAAATGGATGGAATGTCTCTTGAAACAAGATTCAGTGCTCAAGATGATAGGGAATTAAAACTGTTAAGATCAGCAAATTATGCATCATCTCATATTCCTGAAAACAATCCCCGACAGGAGACAGAAAAGCCAAATGTTCTAATTCAGAATGGAGAAAACGATAAAGACAAAAAATTGGAAAAACAGATCTTCCCAGACAAATCTTTACCTAACACTTACCACAACAAGGAGCCATTTTCAATAGAAAACAATGCTCTTCAATCAATTAATGAGCAAAAAAGTGAAGAAATTTCTAAAATAAATACCACAGAGACAAGTTCTTCTGCACAACAACAGAAAGTAGAAAATACTGATCCTATCATAGATGTTGGAAATAACAACACCAAATGTGTCCACAAAAATATGACAGATAAGGTTATTGACATTGTCAAGAGCAAGCCATTAGTTGTTGGTTCTGTAATTGGTGCTTTATCATTGGGGTTGATTGCTTACAGTAGAAATAGTTAAATACAGTTTCTTATAAGAACCAAGCAGAAGTTTAATGCCTTTATTCAGGATATACCTTCCATAGCTCTACTGTTTGTTTTAATAGTTTACGTTTTTGAAAAATTTCGTTTGGTTTTATATTTACAGAATTTACTTAACCCAGTATTTGATAATCATAGTATGGAAAAAACTGAGTTATAGTAATATCAACTATAATAATTATAATGAATATAATGATTAGAAGTGTTAATAGAAATTATTAAAATAGAGTGAAAATGCTTGATTCAGATAAGAAACTGTATTTAACAGTAAAATTATTTAATTAGAAGTTGATGTCAGATTAAGAAGTAAATTCAAACAATTTTTATTTTTTTAATTTTTATTATGGTTAGGTTGTATTTTTTTGGGGTTGTATTTGTTGATTTGAATAGCTGTTGGTTGATTTTTGTGATGATTACAGTAGATAGTAGGTTTTACTTTGGAACACCAAAAACAACATAAAAAAGCCCTATCATTGTCATTTTCAATTTGTCAGTTACATATGTTGAAATGTAAGGTGCCATATATACGAATTATTAGTCCCAAAAGAGAAAAATAAAACCATTTCAATTTCTACAATTTACAGTTTACATACCAATTACTGTTATCAAGCATATTTTTAGCATAAGAAACATTTTGTGTATATATGGCATAACTTCAAACAAATATGTTCATTGTATTTATAATAATTTAGCATTGTTACATTTTATTAATTCAGCATTGTTACATTTTATTCACACATTGACATATCAAGTTTTCTTATTTTTTGAATGAGGATGATGTTATGCATCTATTTCTTTGACAGAATTGACAGTTGTTGGACTGTTCAAAAATAAAATAAAATGTAAATAAACTAAGGCTTATCGTTGTGCAACATGACTCATAATGTCATGAAAATATTCCATTGTATATATTCCAGTATATTCTGCCATCTTAAATATTATTATGTAGTCCTGTACTTATTAAGTACTACTTAATGTTGTTTTTCTTATTTTTTTTCCAAATGATTTATCAGTTTATTTTACAAAACATGTGTTCAAATTTCTAAGTGCTATCTTTGATTTATTAATTGTAAATAATGAATATTTAAGAAAGATTTATGTGATAAATTTTGAATAAGGTGATCCCTTCTGACATAATTATCATTTGTATATTATAATATCTAGAGTAACTTGCCCTTTTCTGGGGGTTTTCATTTAGGAATAACATGCATAAGTCAAACATTATAGTCAAGAGTTTTTGTATTAGATTAGAGATTCTCCTCAATTTTTTTAAGTTTGAATACTCCTTTATAATTAATTTCATTTTGTATGTGCAGAATGATTAATTCCAATGGAATTCTTCCAAATAAAGCGACAATAGAAGTCAAAAGTTATGTAAACAACAACAAAAAAATGAATTCGCAATTGCATCAGGAAAATATTATACAGTCTTAAGTCAAAAGTGGAAATGTAGTTAAAGGACCAAAAAATTAATCAGAATTTCAAATTGTTACTTGCCATAAAGAATGATATACCAGAAGAAAAACTGTTTGATTTTATTGTATGATTTTTGTTTATTTTACACAATAAGTGCTGATGGTTTGTGATATAAAGAAAGCTTTCAAAGTGCTGTTTATGACTTTTAACCTGGCCTCTGACCACAATTAATTCCCTTTGTTTGTGGTGTACAAACAAAGTATATTAATACTATATTGGCTATTTTTCTTGATTATTCTTTGCAAATCAGTCTTCTCTGTTTTGTATGAGGAATGATTGAACCAGTACCTATACCATTGCTTGCAATTCAGTCATGTTTATTATATAATTATTTGATACAATTTTTTTTTTCCTGTGTTGGCTTTTCTGAAGAGCAAAAATACTTCCAGCAATACACAAAAATAAACACTTTCATTGATTCATTAAATGACCTTTTACAGGGGAAGAACACCAATGTATTATGAAGATATATGTATAATAAAGATGTTATTGCACTAATGGTCAGGGGACACAGTTAGCGTCCTTTGGTTTTCATTGTCTACAAATATAGTCCCTAGTGTGAACTGTGTATAACTTGCAAATTTTTCATACATCTTCCAAATTCATTTCTTTATTTGTTATATCATATTGGTGTAATTATGCTTTATTTTTGCGAATTTTCTGTGATGTTTTATATTTATTTTCCATTATGAGTAAGATTATTTATTTTCATGTGTAGAGACGTATAGATTATTACATGGCATTTTTCATATCAGACCTTTTATTGGCTCTAGGTCATATCAGCCCAAGAGCAGGAGGCTCGAGGGATGATATCATGAACGAGGGCCAATAAAGGGTCTGATATGAAAAATGACATGTAATGATCTTTTTAGCATATACTTCAGTAGAAGAAATACAGACAAGAACTATTAAAATTTTGTCTTTCTTTGAACTTCTAGATAATAATTTACAGACAACCAAATACAAGTTTATTAACTTTAATTGTTTTTATTGATATAACAAGCATTTCATTTATCATGTGACATTTCACAACAATTATTATGTTCTTAGTTTGAAAAATTTATTGTCACGTCTGCCATGTTTACAAACAAATTTCCGGAAATGCACGATGTTGCATGTGATAAACCCCACGGACAATAACGGAAAGGCATTTGATAACATTCTGGAAGTAGTCAATAAAGGTTCGTTTATCACCCCACCGAGGAAATTCTTAGGAATCTGGTTAATAAACATAATAACCCTTTCATAGCCTTTTAATTATTTCTAAATGTTATTGAACTGTAAAATTTAAGTAATATTTTATACAAGTATATGATAAATGCAGGTATTGATTTCAATATCTGGCTTGTTTTCATATTGCTTATTTTGCCGATATTCTCTTGAATTAATAAGTGAAGCTTGTTTAATTTGTCATATTGATATTCCTTACAGAAAGAAGACATTATATACCATTAAATTACTGTTTAGACCAGAATTGTTGCTTTATTTATGGTGTAAACAAATTTCCCTTTAACACACAAAGTTTTAGAAAAATATGATTTACAAAATTTGAACTATCTCTAGAATTTTATCTTTAAAAAATTTGAAGGATAACAGTTGTAAATTTTATTTTGTCATTTTGTGAAAGTTTTTATTCCCTGTAGGGTATATATGATGTTCATTTTGGCATTTAACTTCATCTAATGGTATGTCCGCATATCAAAACATTAGAAGGCCAAAAAATTTTCAAAATGGGAATGAAATTACTGTCAAAAATCCTGATCATACTAAACACCAACAATATAAAAATATGAAATTTATTTGTTGTAAAATAACTGTATTAATGAATTTTTTCCAGGGAATTAAAGCAATAATAAGTACGTAATATTAAATGTTTACTAGAGTTACATAAAATACAATGGCTATACCAAACCCTACTTCATCCAGAAACCTGTGTAAATTTAACCTGAATAATTCAGTCGTTATATTCCACTGCTCTACGATGGCTACATTAACGCCTGTAGGCCTTGTCAATAAAAAATCGTCAAATAATCATTCGGAATTAGCTCGGGATTTACCTATCTTGATAACATTGAGCTATTAGCTGATTGGCTCTCTCTCACAGAGAGCACCAATCAAAATCCTGGATTCGTGAAGCGTTTTTATTATATAAAGAATTCAGGCCCTCGTGAGTGGGAGAGTCGATCACGGGGAGGGACTGAATTATTCAGGTTAGTGTAAATTTAAACTCTTGTACTGGGAACAAATGAATGAACCAGATTATGTGTTTGCAAACACACATATGGTTTCTGAGAAAGGATATTGATTGGTTGCTCCTTATATTATTTTATTTTATAACCGTTGAAAAATTTGAAGACAAAATATTTTGTGATGCTTGCAAATCCTTTGGCATTGAGATATTTGTTTCTTTTGATATAGACATAATATAGGTTGTATCAACATTTTTATATATAACATAAAACAATGAAACTCATCAAAACCAAATACTTTAGACTGAATATTTTGTTCAGAATTTCAGATTATACAGATTTTCCTGTCATACAGGATAAACTACTTAGAAATATTACTGTGTTCCCAGTACAAGAGTTTAAATTTACACAGGTTTCTGGATGAAGCAGGGTTTGGTATAGCCATTTCATTTTATGTAACTCTAGTAACCATTTAATATCAGGTATTTATTATTGTTGTAATTACCTGGAAAAAAATCAATTTATCACATACCTCATGAAGTCAATTTCATCCATTGTTATATTTGACCATGTCTTTCATTCAATAAAATGTTATTTCATCAATGTTATTTATGTATGTTTTTCTGTGTTGTCAACTCTTTAGAGTATAAATTTGCATTTCAAATAAACTTCATTACTGTTGTTTTCATCTCTGTTTATAAAGGGGTAACTTCATTCTAGTTCACTAACATAATAGTACAAAATTTAAATTTAGCAGATAACAGTATTGTATTTGAAGATTTGTGGGCATCAATTGACAATTTGATGGTAGCATTAGTTGTGTTTACTGCTGACATGTTAGAGGAACCATTAAAAGGATATTCGCAACAATCAAAGTAAGAAAATAAATACCCTAAATATTCAAATATAATATTGTTATCAACCAATAGAGCCGCTAAATCATAATTTTAAAATTGGTACACAATGTCTGGACTTATACACAATTCAGACTATCAATCATGGAATTTAAATGCCATTAAATTTAATTTATGGCTTTATCCAATCAAAATGAACAATACAAATAATGATGAATCAGAATTTTTTATTGACTTGAAAAAAGGTAAGACAATACAAAAGGAAGCAATCAAAAATCATTAGTGAAGAAGGACAGACAACTCAGTGACCAATAGAATACAAGACAAATGACAGTCCTAACTAAATATGAGAAGGAACCAAAAATTATATTAATGCTTCTTGAGTAGTTTAAATTTTATCTGTTATTGAACCATTAAGTTGCATGTAATTCAGTTGGCAAGTGAGGTAGCAAATTTTTAAAGTCAGAATTTAGGTAAAATGTTCTACATGATCACTTGCATTCACAGTCCTTAACACTTTCAATTATTATTGCTGTGAGATTGATTTGTTGGCCCTTTCTGTATTGTTTTTATCCCTGCCTATACAGACCTTAAGGAAAAAGCTTTGTTTTGCTGTACATAAACTGTTATGAATTTTCATTGGATATTTAACTGCATGTATTTTGTATAAATTCCAGTTTTACCATAAATGTGTTATGCACTAACAAAGTCAAAAACGTAGTTGGATCCCACACACTACAACTTGCTCATACCAATTGCACTGTTTTGGCAGGTATACAATTTGTCCTACTTAGGAGTTGTTGGTCTTTGTAAAAAAAAACTAATATTGGTCAAAATCATTGTCATATCCCACACAATACACCTTTTTTATTCCACTTGCTTTGTATAGGCAGGTATACAATTTGTCCTATTGGAAAGTTGGTTGACCGTTATGGAATATTTGTTTCACAGATGACGACGGATATGTTCCAATTGTCGTAACTACTATCTCATCCCCTTTCCCTCGATTGTGACCTAACGAATTACACATATCACTGGGTTTGTACTTGCATGAGCAACGTGACAGGTTCCACATGTGGAGCAGGATCTGCTTACCCTTCCAGAGCACCTGAGATCACCCCCAGTTTTTGGTGGGGTCATTGTTGCTTAGTCTTTGGTTTTCTATGTTGTGTTTTGTGTACTGTTGTTTGTCTGTTTGTCTGTTTGTGTCTTTTTCTTTTTTAGCCATGGCTTTGTAAGTTTTATTTTAGACTTATGAGTTTGAATGTCCCTTTGGTATCCTTCACCTCTCTTTGACTATTGGCTCAGAGGTTAAGAATTTAAAAAAGTTTATGATACAGTTTGACCATTCCTGGTACATAAAGCCAAACATTGAAATGAGAACACACAGAATCACATGAACTCCTGCAAATTGGAGTAAAGCTACCTTATAACTGTACTTTATTTTACTCCTTCAGTTTTTGTGTTGTGCTCATTTGTTTTTGTTTCTGATCCTTAATGGTTTTCGTTTGTAAAAATTGCCTTTTATTTTTCTTTACTGTCTCTGAAATGCTAACCAACTATTTCCAGATGAAAATGAAGAATGTTTCTTTTACATAAATTTTAAAGCTTTTATTAAAAAGGTTGAGTAATCAATATTGATGAAAATATCATAAGCTGGAAAATTTGTTCATACTAAATCACAAGATTGGTTGTTGGTTTAATGCCATTTTCAACACTATTGGCAATATTGTGGTGGTAATTTTTATTGGTAGAGTAAATCGGGATGCCTTCAGAGAACCACCAACCTACTGCAGGAAAAGTGGTAATCTGGGTCCATTAAGATTGGAGTTGGACACACCTGCCATGTGTGGGATTTGAACTAACAACCTAACCAGTGTTTACAGGCTAGTAATTCTGTTGATGAATTACTTAGACCACTCAGCCACCTAGGCCCCTCAAGTCACAATAAGGAACATTCAAGTATTATATTAACAATATTTGGTTGGAGATATAATGATTAATTTTTTTGGCTTTGGAATACATGGGTTTATTCTTGCACTGAAATGAATGATTCAGAATGCCAGACATGGTGATGGCTACTGCATAAAATCATTTGTAAAAATACTTTTATATTTCAGAAGGTAGAAAAACCTGGATACTTCAATACGCATCTATAAGACAGGGTTCACCTAAGCTTGACCTCATTTCATGGATCAGTGATCAACTTTTAAATTGTCTTGGTTAAGTCAATTTCTCAGATACTAAATGCAATAAGATAATTATTGTAAGCTGTACATTTCTTTCTGACAGGGTGCATCTGACCTTGACCTCATTCTCATTGGTAAACATTAGATTTTTGTGATTACATTAGATTCTATAAACAAAAGGTCAACTATATATGGTGCATGGAATGATTGTTGGGTGTACATGTCCTCCTGGCAAGATTTATATGACCATATTGATGTTTCATTGGTCAACACAGAGCTTTAGTGATTAAGTCTAAATTTGATCAATGATTCTCAGATACTATTATGTGTATTGAATGATTAGTAGGTTTACATATGCTATCTGTCTGGCAGGTTCATTTGACCTTGAAATCAATTTCAAGGGTCATTGATAATCTTAAGTTTATGTGTACATTTGTCTTTTCTTTGTCTTTCATTTTTTCCCATGGCTTTGTCAGTTTCTCTTCGCTTTTTTGTGGCCCCCTTAGTTTCTTTAATTCTACCTCCTCTTTTTTAAAACACCATCATGATAGGAGGAGGGCTGAATGCTTAAACATGATGAAACCTTCCTCATTCTGAATGTGCCTTTCCCAAGCCAGGAACCTGTAGACCTGTGGTTGTTATTGGTTGCTGTCAGCCATAATTATTTGTTTGTTAATTTTTTAGCTTAAATCAGGCTGTTGGTTTTCTCTTCTGAATTGTTTCACATTTTGTTATCCCAGGGCCATTTATAGCTTACTCCATGACATAGATTTTGCTCATTGTTGAATGCTGTATGATGACCTGCGGTTGTTTTCATCCTTGTCCTTGGTGGATATAGTTGTCTTTGATATTAACATATACAACACATCTCCTTATTTTATAGTGCACTTGGTTTGTTTTTTAAACCTTGAGTAAATTCTGATATTCAAATTCAGTGGAATGCTAGCTTCTTTTTGCTATGACTGAAATAAATTAAATGAATCAAGAGTACTTTATTCTAATCAGCTGACATCAGCTTATTCAGTGCAATTTACAAATCTCATTTTAAAGAAACATTTAAGGAATGTAAAGCTAAAAATAAGAATTCAAAATAAAAGACACAAATATGAATTGTTAAAAATAAAATAAAATATCACTGCTGACAATATTTTTTGATAAAATACACAACTCTGTACATGTATTTCAATATTGCACTTCATATGTTCACTTTTATACAATATCTCAGTCTTTTGTAGTCTTCTCCTAGTCTGAGAATTCTCTGAAATCTATCAGGACATAAAATAAAATTTGGACTAGTCAGTTCCATATTGTGAACATACAAAAAAGTCATGTTCCTATAAAATTCCTGATGACTTAATTTCTTATTTACACTTTCAGTATATTACAAAAATCTTAATTTATTTTCTGCAAAAAAAAACATCAAAACCAAAAACCAAATATCATTTATATTAACTGTAAATTCAGAATATAATATGTGTATTACTGATATATCTTTTCAACTTGTAATTTAAGACTACTATTAAGGAAATAGAACCATAATTGGCCATTTTGGCATTAAAAAGACCCGAATTTTAGTACAAATTTGTAACAAATTGAACCTATGAGATCTTCATAAGAGGTCTTGGCTAGTATGATTTGAAAAATGTTTTTTAATACATAAACATTCATTGGGTCTACTGTGTAGCATATAACAATGAAAAAAGGCCTGTACCATAAGATAAGCTATGTACTTCAATGTGATTAAGTAAATGTGTTTGGTGTGGGATAAGACTGGGCATTGGGATTAGATTCTTCGACAATTGGTAAACAGATCAAACACTTAAGGATGTTCACTCCTCTGTTTCAAAATAACAAGCTTTTTAAAAGACTGTTATAAATTGAAAGTACAAGAATAAAGGAACTAAAAAAGCAGAAAAAACTGAAGGGTACGTGTGCAATGTTTTCAAGATATAAGCCATTTAAAATTTGGCGGGAAGTGATTCTCTCTAGATTTTTTATACATTTAACATAGGCACCTTTTTTCTTTCAAAAACTATGAAAGAATAACAAGGATTTTAGAAGATTTTCAAATATGGCTTTTAAAACTATATGTAATAAAATTATGAAATGAAAAGTAGGGGTTTGCAGGCAAAATTTTTAATGGCACTACATGGATAAAACCAGAGGATTCTGAATATCTGGCAAAAATTCAAAAACAAGAAGAGCGAACATCCTTAATTCCTCTTAGTAGTTGGTCTTTTAATAGCTATCCCCAAATTTGGTATACTTATACTCTGCAATGCATTTTTGCCATCTTTAATAATAAAAATGAAAATGAAAATTCTGAATTATTTGATGATAAATTTTAGAAACAATTTATTTCCATTGCCTGAATATTTCTTTTTATTTCAAATACAAAAATACATGATTTCCCACATAGAAATTATATAAAGAATTCACATGAGATGAATAATGATTACTCAAATATAGGAGACAACTCACTTGATGAAAAAAGGAAATAAAACAGTGGTTCTCAAAAAACTGGTTCTTCTCAAACAATAAAGTTTAAAAACAGAAAAAATATACATGTAAGATATATAAATGCCATTGGATCACTAACCTAAAAAAAACCCAGCAAAATAAAACAAAATGTTATAAAAATAAAATGAAAATACAAATTCATTTGTTTTTGGACTAATTAGTTCTAATCAAGTGAACACCTAAATATTGTTGTAATGTAAACTTAAAAAAATAGACCTGTTAATACATAAAATTTAAAGTTGTGTCAGTTTTAATAGGTGCTTTGTATACTACCCCTCACAGGAAAGTTATTGCAATATTTTCCTGAAAAGTGCAATATACCACTATACTTAATATTGGAAAGTTTTAAAACAAAAACATATGCATAAATATTCTTGTACAGGAATTTTTTTAAATGAAAAATATTGCCATTGAGGTGCCAAAAAAGCTCAGCAGAAGATAAATATAGAATTAAAAACATAAGAATGTCAAGCTTCATATGAATAAGAAAAATCTTATTTCAATCAATAAGCAAAACCAATAGTGATTGAAAACACAACCCTTCTAACAAACAAAACTCAAAAATAATAAGTACTTTAAGATTTTTACCCTGATCTGCTTGAATTTATTCTACATCTAACTACAAAAGAATTTTCATAAGGTCACTTTAAAAAAAATTTAAGAGATATTGTCTACATTTTTATATATTGAAAGTTTTTTATATTCCAATTGAAATAATTATTAAAGCACAACACAGAGTAAAATCATTCCTTAACAACATATTGCCTATCAGCTATGAGATCTGAAAATCCCTTCCATGATACAACTCATCATAAAGAAGTTCCATACCAGATTTTAACTCCATTCATAATGAAAATGCTGATAAGTATGTGACAAAAAATGTGCATGCTCAGTAGGTATTTAAAGTTTCATTCTTTTCATTGTTCATTGTTATTTAACTATAAGTAATTGTTTTATTACTATTTAATTGACAAAATAATGGTAATTTTTATGTTTGTTTACACAATAAGGAATGCTAAAACTAGCTAACATGCTGATAAAAATTATTCATTCATAATATTAATTAATAAAATTAATATATCTATATATAGATAATAATAAATCCATCATCAAATGATTCATTTAAATGTTAATTGTTAGAATCTTTGAACATTAATAATGTTACTGCTAAAAATAACATAAAATATCTAGAATCTATTTTATTGCAGTCTCCCAATAAAAATTTCTTCCAGCCAGATCTTTAACTTTGAAGGATAAAAAAGTTGACACTTATGTATCAGCTTTTGGCTACATCAAGGATTTGTATAGTGAGATTCTGTAAATCTCGGAAAATCTAAGCATATGCATCTTATTTCAATACAGGCTATGCAAACTGTCCACGAAGTTCCAATCCTTATCACTATACAAATTCTTGGCTACATGTACTTATTATTGCACTCTGTTTGTGATTTTCCCTATTTATGGAAGATCTTTCTACCTTAAACTGTTTAAAACACAGGTTATGTAAGACCAAATACTTGAATTATCCAATTTTCCTACAACTTATATCAGGTCAATTTTAATTTTATGACAGCAAAAACAAAGTCATAAAGTCTTGAAATTGTTATTGGTAGCTTATATTTTAGGGAGCTACCATTTGATCTTTATGGGGGGGGGTAAAAAAAAAAGGCAGGATGAGCAACTTTGGCAAAAAAAAAAAAGGCAGGATGACAATTTATGTAAAAAATGTCAGGATAAACTAATGAAAAAAAAAGGCAGGACCGAATAGAATGAAAAATAAAAAGGCAGGCAAGAGGTTACAACTAAAAAAAAAATGCAGGACAAAATTTTTCATCCTAGCCCCCAATAAAAATCAAATGGTTACTAAGCTCCCTTAGTCTCACGACCTAACTTTCATTACATTTGAAATAAATTTAACCATTTGCAAGAAAACTGGTTAAGACATACAAAGTTGTTAACTGACAGTGGCTTAATTTTGTTCAGCGCCTTCAATAAATAAAATTGTATAAAAAAACATAACATCAACAAAAATAGAAAATACACTTGTTCAGTAATAATGTTGTACATTTCTTCATAAAACATTCCATTTGTGACATAGTTTTTTTGGGGGTAAAATCTGACACTATATTAAGACTATATTAAAATGTCATGTTTATCATAATCATGAAAAAAAAACATTTATGCTAACAATTATAAAGTGGTGCAGAAAATGTTTAACATTGTATAGTCCATTTCTAAAATTATTTAAAGATAAGTTGTAGTGAGAGATGATCTTTTTGAAAATTTACAGAATAAAACTAAGTGACTGTAAACTTTTGAGAGAGATAGAGAGAAAAAAAAAGGCTAAAACAGATGATTTTGTAATTTTGTTGAAATTTTACAATAACTTTGAATTTTTTAAACTTGTGTCTTTTTGCACTAAAATATTGATACATTAAACTTATTCTTAAGCTCTTGTAAATGTACATACAATGCTAGTAATATTACCTCACTTTATCACTCTATTGAAATATCTAATATGCGTGCTAAGAATTTTTTTCTACCTTTAGAAGCAGTTTTGCAGTATTCTTATATTGCAATTTTTCTAACAGTATCATATAAATTGACTTTTATTTTGTATTTTGAATAAGTACATAAAAAGTATGTTCTACTGTACTCAAATTATTTTAAAATAAAATCCCAACTAAAAATATTTATGTTGCAAATGATAATTTATATACTGATAGCTAGATAAATCCTACTGTTTGTAATTCAGGTCACACATGATAAAGGCAATTCAGGTTTACCGGTAGTAGCTTAAAATTTAACATATTTTTCAATAACCATGGTACACAAGACAGAACTAGACATTAACTATCACAATATTATTGACTATGATTCTGTCTTCATTTCATGGCTTGTTAAACAAATGATCTTTTATATCTTTTATATCCACTGACATACATATTCCCCATTTCCATTCTTAATTTTATAATACTTTCACCATGTATAAAACCATGAATTAAACCACTTTTCTGGAAAAAATAAAATAGGAAACCACAAATATATATATCACAAATAACATCGAAACATAATAATCTCTCTAAAAAATTGCATGGGAAGAGCATCTTCATCAACTACATGAATGTTTAACTCTGAGCATATATAGGTTAAAAATTACAAAAATTGCCTTTATAAAAATATGATTTGAGTGTAACATTTCCTCTCTCCAAGCTTCTGTCTCATTTCCTGTTCCAAAGATTCAGCAATTCGTTGTGTTTTAGTACTATTAGTAGCGGGAAATATAATTTTTGGGATTTTAGACATACGAGTATGTTCATTTTCTTGACTAGACACATCTATCGGACTGTTTGTATTCGACAAATCCTTAGATTCATCTTCCTGAGATTTCCCCATAACATGAGACATATTTCCTCCATCTTCATCATCAAAATTTTCAGAGAACTCTGAGTCATCAGGTACATCTGAAATAAAGTGTTGCAGCTTTGATTCTGCATTTTCATTGATATTATCTTCCTTCAATTCACTCTCACTTGGTATAACATTTTCTGAAACTTTAAATCTAAGAGTTACATTTTCAGTTGAATCAGTTCTGTTTAACTGATCTCCACCTGCTTGTTTTTCTTGTTTGTAAAATACACTAGAAGTATCACTAGTGGATTTTTCGTCAGGAACATTCCGTCCAAGCCTTATTCCTGGTATATTTAATTTGGTAATATTCTTTAAGCCAGTGTTGATATTTTTCTTCAAATCAGACATGATATTTCTCCTTGTTCTTGAAGGACTTTCTGATGGTGAGCTGGGCTCTACAGGACTTGGAGTAAGACTTGATTGAGGTGACTTTCTTGACGATTGCTTCATCTGTGCCAAATCAGGTGCTGATACGTCTCTTGGTATATGTATCCCTGACAATGAATTTTCCTGTTGTTGCTGGTGTATATACTGAACATCTATATGGGGTTTTGTTTTCTTTCTAAAATTTAAACAGGAAATAAAATTGACTAAATCATATATGTTGAAATTGTGAAATGGTTATCAAGGAAGTTTTTCTTTGTTTCTTTTTATTATTGCAATAAAAAACTTTCTAAAAATACTTTGCATTCAAAATACACCATTTATCACATGTTTATGATGTCATTGTGAAATCAGAGATGGCACGTTTTATGCATTGGATTTACTATTCCTAAATGGTGTTTTATGAAAACATTAAAACATGAACCATAATTTGATTAAAAAAAGAATTCTAATGATTTAATGTAAAAAAAGTTACTGAAATGTATAATCTTGTTCAAATCAAAATGTTTTCAATTTATCATTTGTTTATGCTGACACTATGACAACAGAGATATGTACCATAAATTTGTAATTTTGAAATGTTGTAAACGCTGAATTAGAATAGGAACAGATAATCCAATAACATCTAAGTCCAAGCAGGACATCAAACCAATCAAAGTGCTGAGAAAAACATCCAATGGGAATCAATACTTTTGAAACACTAATGTCAAATTTTTGTATGTGGCACCCGTCATGTTGCTCATGTAAGTACAAATGTTCGTAATTACTTTTTTCAGATTTGCCACAAAAATGATCAAAACTTATACCTATCTAATTTGGGAACATCTACAAGTGGTAGTTTAAGCGACAGTATTTCTTCTGTTGCAGCTGCAAAGCCTTGATATATGGCACCAAGTGATTCTAAAATATATTTGTATTACATATAGAACATATATTTTATTTCCAATTCATTTTATTAATACACATACTGTAAAAGTCATGTGGTTGATTATGCTTTGAAATAATAGAATTTTCAGCAATGAATGGGAGACAACTCTAATTGATACAGCAGCATTCAAATTATACTATATGCTATAACTGAATTGATAGTGTCATGCTTGTAAATTTCTCAAACAAAACTAGTAGTTATTAAACAAGGCTATTCCAGAAATAAATTGTGTGATTAGAGGAATCATTTATTAATTCTGACAAACAATCATAGATCAGGAGCCTGTTGTTCAGTGGTTGTCGTTTGATGGTGTGGTTCATTCTCGTTTCTCGTTTTTTATATAGATTAAACAGTTGGTTTTCCTGTTTGAATTGTTTTACACTAGTCATTTTGGGGCCCTTTAAAGTTTGCTGTTCAGTGGGAGCCAAGACTCCGTGTTGAAGGCTGTTCTTTGACCTATAATTGTTAACTTTTTATACATTGTGACTTGGATGGAGAGTTGTCTCATTGGCACTCATACCACATCTTCTTATTTATAATCTATCAAAGTTTACTTGAAGTGTCTTCTGTCCCTTTTATGATATTATAAGGGGAAATGCCTAAGCAATAATCTAAGGTATTACTGTTTTATCAAAAATTCTATTAAAGAGATACATGTTTCAAGTTCTGAGACTGCTCTAAGTCTGGTATCTTTCATGAGTTTTTTTCCTTAAAATTGATAAAAAAGAGACTTAAACCATAATTAATCATCATGAAACAATGATTTTATCTGGCCGAAATTTTAAATTAGGCAATCTTTAATTTGTCATTTCTAATATTTTTACAGAATTAATTTTACCTTTAGCTTCCTCTTTATTCTTAACAGCAATAATAATGTTGTTAAACAATCTTGTACTAGGAGTTCGAAAGGTATGAAAAAATCCTTCATCTGTATAATGGTGGTAATATAGTCGTAAACATACAAACTTTGATTTGAAGATGGCTGGCTCAGCACCTAAAGAAATCAAGTAATATCACATAAAACTCTTTACCTAGTCAATATGGTTAGTAAAATGAAAATAACATTTTATAAATCTGGTGCCTTAAAAGTGCCTTTCTGGATTTACCTTCATCAGAAGCGCTCAAAGCCTCAAACCCCAAAATTTGAAAGGGCAAAGATGTATAAATGCCTGAATACCTGAGGAGCTATGTGACATAAGCTATTTGTAAAGTAATAAGTCATGCATACTGAAAAGGGTATCATATGTTTATATTATTTGACCAAAGTTTCACACTCTAATAATATGGATCATCTGATATTACTACAAATTATTATTTGAGTTCAAATTACTTTAAAATGTTATTAGGTGTATTTCTATCTTTGTATTATTACAGTAACTTACCAATTTCTATTTGTTCGATGTCCTCCAGAAAAATTCGCTGATAACAAGTTATACCCTCTTCTTCATCATCATACCTTTAGTGAAAATAATGTTTAATGAAAAACATTATTTATCATATAATGCACTAATTTGGGATACAAAAAAAAAATGCTCAGTCTTTCCTGTAAAAAGCGATAGATTTTATAAGCTTGTATTGTTTAGTTGCTGTCCAATAGAAGTTAACCTCCCCAAAACCCATTCATTCCTAACTATATTATATATAATTATTTCTCTTACTCCTACCAGATTAATCCTTTTCCTGACCTGTTGATTATTTTTATTTAATCAGCGTGTGGTTTGTTTGATCTCAGTTCTTCATTGGTCAAAACTTGATTATGACGTCAAATTTTCTGGCTTTTCTCTGAAATTCCTATTCTGACGTCATGAAAAAAGACGACCATGCCTGATGACGTTACATTGAAAGAACACATCTTTTTGTAGAGGCATATCTTCTAAAAATCATCATAAAAACAGATATCACCACCAAATCTCGTGCTGTACGATATTTATCCACTCTAGACAGTTAAAATCAATATTCAAAACGCTCTGCGAGCCTCACATTTTAAATTTAAAAATTTAACTGTCTCAAGTGGATAAATATCGTATCCCACTTGATGCAGTGGTATAATCTTTATTTATTGGCTGTTTTTGCAGCTGGCCAATGTTTTCTGAATTGTGAAACTAGTTAACTGATAAATTGAATGATTGATGTGTGATTAATGTCCAACTACAACTATTACATGAATTACTCTACATCATACTAAACATAAACAATAAGCCACATAAATTCTTATGTGCTATTTAACAATGTAACATTTTAAAGGAAACTATGACCTCATAACAAAACACCTCAATCTTTGCTATTACTCCTATAAGCTGAAAAGGAAGCTTTTAAATGCAATGACAAATACTGCACAATCCCAATGTAAAAAAAAATAAAGGTCCTTCGATCTCCTTTGAATACTTTAAAATGTGTCTTATTCACAGAATTAACAGTCCCGCAATAATCTTTATTTCCAAATTAATAAATATCAATATTGATAGTCTTTTCATAAAATAATAATACTCTACCATGCAACATATACTGCTCTCTGACTTAGTAACAAGATTATGTCCATTTCCTGTCTGTCTGGGTCTCCAGTCCTAAAATAGATTGCTTGATTAGTACTTATTTTTAATTTCATAAAATAACCATACATGACAATTATGAAAGAGAAAAACCCAGCCATAATTATCAATATAAAGGTTTATTACAATTTAAAGGAACCTTTTTTTTTAAACTCATTTTGCACATGATCAAGTCTAAAGTAAAATTGAGAATGGAAATGGGGAATATGTCAAAGAGACAACAAAAAATTGAAAACAACACGTTTAATAATTTTATGCGTCCGAAGCCCTTTTCTGGATTTACCTTCATCAGGAACGCTCAATGCCAAACATTTGAAATCCGAGGGATGTATAAGTACCGAAACAGCTGAAGAGCTATATGACAAAAATACCTAAAACAAATAGCCAAATTCATCTAAGGTCAACTTTGCCTGAGGGAGTTGAAACCATAGTTTCTTTATAATTTCAAAATTTATAAATGGACAATTTTAGAAAAGTTTGTTATAAATCATGTCAGTACCGAAGTACTGACTACTGAGCTGATGATACCCTCGGGGACTGATAGTCCACCAGCAGAGGTATCGACCCAGTGATGTAAAAAATTGAAAACAACACGTTTAATAATTTCATGCATCCAAAGTGCTTTTCTGGATTTACCTTCATCAGGAACGCTCAATGCCAAACATTTGAAATCCGAGGGATGTATAAGTACCAAAACAGTTGAAGAGCTATATGACAAAAATACCTAAAACAAATAGCCAAATTCATCTAAGGTCAACTTTGCCTGAGGGAGTTGAAACCATAGTTTCTGTATAATTTCAAAATTTATAAACGGACAATTTTAGAAAAGTTTGTTATAAATCATGTCAGTACCGAAGTACTGACTACTGAGCTGATGATACCCTCGGGGACTGATAGTCCACCAGCAGAGGAATCGACCCAGAGATGTGAAAAATCGAAAACAACACGTTTAATAATTTCATGCGTCCGAAGGGACCCGACCAAAGAGCAGAAAACAGCCAAAGGCCACCAATGGGACTTCAACACAGAGAGAAAATCCTTTTAAAGGTTGACGTTTAACTGTATATATGTGTAAAATGCATCAGACAAACTAAAAAAATGATATCATTTGTGAAAATAAAAAGTATGATCAAGGTATCAATTATTCAAGATTTATTTTTGTCTTAGCACTACCTGGGACATAATATATTAGTAAAATAGTCCCAGGGCCAGGTACTACACATTACTCAGTATCTTACTTTGAACACTTGTTCATTCCCCTTGTTTAGTACTTAATATAAAACCTTTACCTTGTGTCTATAAAGCATGAAAACGAAAAACAAACTGACCAATACTTGTGATGAAATGTTATGCTTCATTATCTATTGACATAGCAACTAAAATGTCCCTCTAGAATTACTGGTACATGACTAATGAACCTTAATATCTTACACAGGGTCAGCATCTATCAAGCTCCATCCACCGAGACATTCCTCAGGTTCTACGATTAACATTTTCTTACAATCTTCTACCAATAACTTCAAGTTCTCCTCTCTTTCCACAAGGTCTGTGGTGTCCTCCTCTATTTTGGTTGTACCAGTCAAGAGATCCTCAGCCACTGGCTGTCCTAAAGTTAGGTCAATGGCAGCCTGTCTGTAGTTGTCCTTAAATCTCAGATAATACCTAGATTATGAAAATATTTGTTATACATCAATACTAGTAACAAGAAATGACTAAAATGACCCATATGCATAATGTTTCTTAACAATATCCTGGCAATCTGTGAAGTCAAGATATAAGAGTCAAGCATGCATGCCACGACTTTTTGTTTGGTTACTGAGACATTAACTTATCATGACATGATGATGATGATGATGATGATGGATGGCTGTTTAATGTCCAGTGGCAAGTTAAATGCATATTCAGGACAAGATCTCTTGTTAATGCCATCTCGTTCTCTTTATTCACAAAATGACAACTTTTATTCAGTTCAAAGAACTATACAAAAACTCAACTCATAAGTTAACTCATTAAACCAGCGAACCGCTTTCAAAATAAACTACGCCTCAATACGTAAATATTCTAAGTTTCCGCTAAATATCCAATGCAAACCCTGATCAAAAACTAGCCAGTTTTAGTCAATCAAAATATATACATAAATAGGAGGGGAGACTTCTTACCTAAAAATACTGTAATACACATTTTCTTCAATTCACTAGTTATAGCATATAAAATAGCACAAGATTCCTCACCGAGACCACTTCCAAAAAACTCGCGCACGTGGTTGAAAATTCCCTCTTTACCTTACGTCTACACACCTGAGAATCTGAGCTGGGAATGATTTCCAGAAGACAATCACTGCACGAGCTAATTTTCCCCGGGAACTCAGTTGAGCTCTCTGATTGGTTGAGAAAGGAAAAATATTTTGAACGCTAATGTGAGGTTCGTTACGTCACTAAAATTTAATGAAAAAAAAATAAATAAATGAACCAAATAAAGTGACCCACAAACGTTATAATATGAACAGGAAACATGCTTTGTATTAGACAAACACACTGAGCAAGATTTTTAACTATTCTGACTCTGGGGTGACTCTTGCTTTTACTCTTTAAAATGCTACATGTTTATCATGACTCATGACACCTCAAAATGTCTTTTTTGGTGAACTTGTATTGTAAGGCTGAAATCTATATGATATCTACACCACATTTCCTTTTATTCAAATAAGTAAAATTAATTGAATAAGATTACTTGGTCAAGGTTAGAAAACCCTACCAAGAACAAGCTCTGTGACTTTGTTGAATTTCAATCTCTGGTGTTATATGTCTCTGATATGTATAATAGAACAACAAAGATGAAGTCACTAAAGCAACTAAACAATTAAAATGAGTCCAGCATTTAAAAGTGTCAGTGTAAGACTGACATGGGCCCAAATGAACTATTCTAACCAAAAATTGTGTGTCTAATTATTCAAATGTATGAGAAAGTAGATAGAACTTCACAGAGGCATCCATATTGAATACATCTTCCCCCTTCTGAAATATAAAGCTTTCTACAATTGTCCAAAACACCATATTTTCTATCATTTGTTATTCAGTATTTTAAGTAGTACTTTTTTTTCAAAGAAACAAAGCCCTAAGAATCGTTTTAAATTTCATGTTTGTTAGCCTTTTATTTCATAGATGCATTGTTATTTTTCTGCATGTTTACAATACATAAAATTTTATGTTTTGATTTGATTTTAATTGATTTGGATTCTTTACCACAGTCTTATGTAACCCATTTGATAAGCCGTTAGAGTTCATGACTGTATACCTGTTTGCTGAGTTAACACCATCCTTCATCATTCCTGACAACTTCCTCTCTCCAGTTCTGGTATAGTCACCCTGTAATAAATTTATCTTTTCTAGTTATTATTTTGAATTTAAAACAGAGATAATCCATGGTAAAAATGACTTGTGAAAATATCTTATGTGGATGGAAAATGTAATTTCTTGATAAACTTAAAAACGAAAAACAAAAATGCTCTCACCTCTGTGAATGCAGGTATATAAATATGAACATTTATACAGACAATATTTTTTTTAATATTGTTACAGGCAACTTGATGGATGGATGGGTTAATCCTTAGTGTCCAGTAGTAAATATTACCTGTTATCATGTTAATGAGATAATGAATATACCCTTATTTGTATCAGACTGACAAATGATCTAGATTTTCAATGTTCTAGTTCACAAGGTTATAACATTATTTTGACTCCAAGCCAAGTTCCAGTCTTTGCTTTTACTCCTAAATTCTGCAAGCTTGGTGGAGAATCCAATGAGACAGCAGCTAAATAATATTAATAACCAAAAGAGTTCTAGAGGGCAACAAACAATCTACAATAATAGACCAGTGCCTATACAATATGACATGGTCTAAATTTCTAAATGGTCCCTCGTCAAGAAAAATGAGTTTTTTGGGTGTAGAAGTTTGTGTTACCTTTAAAGCAGCAGTGCCAGCATATTGCCTACTGATAGTATCTCCATTGTTGGCCCATAGCTGTTGAAATGTCCTCTTACAACTGTGTGGCAGATTTTCTTCTGGAGGTAACAAGCCAAGTTTCCGACACTAAAAATTAAAAAAAATAAGACTGTCATTTTTTTCAGAAATCACGCTTCTGAGTACTAATAATACCAAAAACCATGTAGCAGACTCATATATTCATATCTTATTTGAACTACATTTTTGGCATAAAACTTGTAACTGGAATATGTTTCAACATTACATTCATAAGAAAATGAATCTGTCTAAGAATTTGATAAAGCAACTTTTTGCTGCTGAGCTAGCTTCAAATAAAGTTGTTTTAAAACATTCAAATCTGTCAGTATTTGGGTTTTCAAAATCTTTTCTTATCTCTACATTATATTTTCTATGCAAGTTGGACAGTTTTTATTGTCCAATAATTGAAGAAATTTGAATAATTTAGAAAAAGATCCTATGATGGGCCTACAATAATCTACTTAAAAAAAAACATAATAACAACAATAATCAGACAGTTTTAGGTAGAAGTTTTATCACAAATAATTTTTAAAACCTGTGTTTCCATGACGATCCGAGCTATGGCAGTCTGTACTACATTTGTTCTATCTAAACAGTCCACACAGTTGATTCTGAATACACCATTCTGTTCACATATCACACCCTTCCTGTCTACCCTGTAATATTGAAATTTTTCACAAATTAAACCCCTCTTCTGTCTACCCTTTAATTTTGAAATTCACTGCAAATAACGAATACATTCTTCTGTATATTGTTTAATATTCAATATTAAATTACTATGAATACATAAAATTGTAAGGGTAAAACAGAAAAAAAAAGACATGCTAAAAGTTGTATGGATTACCAAGTATTTTTTAGTCAAGATATCAAGATTGAAACTGCACCCAATACTGTCAAAAATTCATTGGACAAACATTTCAATTCTTTTATGGTTTGAGAAAAAAAATTGGAAAAACGTATATGGTGGCATATATGACAACATAACTTTTGAAAAGAAATATGCAAAGTTTGGGATAACCGTTTATACATTATTTCTTTACATACGTTTTCCTCCTTTTCATAAGAATCAACCCATTTTTTAAAAACAACCAATTAGATATATTGAAAGTTTGTTATTGTCCTTAATATGTATAAAATATTTGCCACTGAACAACAATCAATCATTATTTACAAACATTATTGTACGTCCTCATATTGTATGCATAGCTTGGCTACACTCTATATCAAATTTGCTGATATTGCATATTTCCTTATGGAGTTTTTAGATCTTTAGATGTATTTCTATGTCACCAAGTTAACATATTTGTATGATGGTCATCAAAACTGAGTACAAGCAATTTCTTTAATAATCTAAATAACCCTGAAGTATTTACAGATGTCAAATGCAAGAGGTAAAAATAATGAACTTATTTTTCCTTTTTCTTTAAGAATGCCCATAGCAAGACAGGAATATTATGAAAACTGTGCAGCTGTTACTGTATAAACTACAATTAATTGTGCCAGGTATTGATAGTTCTTTACACTTCTGATTCTTATTTTCTTAAATAAAATTCATTTATTTTTGTCCTTTACAGACTGTCAGATCTCTGTTGGAGAGTTGTCTCATTGGCAATCATACACATCCTTATTCTTATATTGACACATTCAATGAATTGGAGCTTGCTAAATTTACTGCCTTCTTTGCTTACTATGAATATACAGTTCTTTCTATTATTATTTTGTTTTCCAGTATAGATACAAATAAATTCTTTTAAAAGGGAGATAATGATTATATAAAATTGTTTCTTACCATGTATATTTCATGTTTTTGATAATGTCTTTTATTCCATCAGTCAGGATAGCAACATTTTCAAACTTCATACCACGGCTGTAATGGAGTATAAGAAATTGGTTGTCATTACACTTGGGCATGCTGCACTATATTTGATAATAACATACAAATGTGTAGTTGGACAAACTTAAAATTGTATAGGCTTACAAGATAACAGTTCTGAATTTGAAGATTTACGGACATCAATTAGCTTTAATGGTTGCGAAATTGAGTTTATTGGCTCTGCTAACACGTTGCCAAGTTACAATATTTGTGACCATCAAATAAAAAATTGATGCCTGCAAATCTTCAAATACATTATTGTTATCTCCATTCTAATGCAGCTGAAAAAAAAATACTGCTAACTCATACATTTTAAAATCAGTCACTCATCATCTGTTAATGCAAGTTCAAAAACAATTACATTTTCAGCACAGTTTAATTTTAAATATTTTTATTCTATAATATTTTACTTTAAACAAGGTGATAAAATAGCAAAGGTTTAGACATTAGTGACTTTTTTTCAAATCTGGGATCAGAAACTGTTCCCCCCACCCCTCACTTATGAAATACATTTTGTAAAGTTTATGAAAGTACATGCACAAGGGGATATATATATCTAAATTATAAAAAGTGGGAAATAAATTCAGAGATCATTTATCAAATAAATAAATACATTTTTCACGATTTCTGGCCATTAAATCTTTTTCCTAAGGTCATTAATTTTAGGACCACAAATCAAAGCTTATTTGACCAAAGGAAGTCTTAAGGTATTCAATTGTCTGACAAGTAAACTATCCTTAATTTATCATGTAAAACAGGTGTCTATACAATATTTTATTGCATAGTATTTATCATTTCACTTTCAAGGTGACCTTAAAATATGTCTTTCGGTGACATATATTTATATACATTTATACTACTACACTGAATTTCATGTTGTGTAATTATGTTACAATTCTTGTATGGACTAGCTATTACGTACTTTACTATATTTGTTTCTTATCAACTTTACTATTTGACATTGACTCAAATATGTTTTAATCTACTGGTATCAATGAAAAACATTTTTTGTGTAATTGTTTAGAATTTGATAATGCTTTTGATTTTTATTGGAGTTAATTTTGCCACTGTTTTGTGACTTAAGACCTTGTATTAACTTTGTAATTTTTTTTTACATTTTTATCTCTTAATTATTTGAGCAATCTGTTTAACATTTAGAAGCTAAGCAATTTAAAGAAATCAGAGCACATTTTGCCTTGCTCCTATAGTCCAACATCGTTCCACAAATAATGGATCAATTGATTTCAGTTTTATTTTCAGAATTTTAGAAGGGAAAACAAGGATGGCTCTACATTATTTCCTCCTTGTTCATCAATTACATCAAATAAGGGAATGTGCATGACCAGGAAAATCATACTTTTGTCCAGCATGAGTATTTATTTGTAGCCATTGCAATGCAGCTGTTATTTCATTTTCAGATTTCATGCACCATACTTGCAATTCTTTGAGGTCTCGATGTTTTGTTTTATCAATTTAAGTTGTTTCTTAACAAATTGTTTATTATTTTAAAAGTCAAATTGTCACTTTTAAAATTCTTAGTCCTCTTTCTTTCTACCAGAATATCAATTAGAAAAAATGAATTATCTACATACCAATACTCATGAAAATCAAATGAGATGTACGTAATATCTGGTGAATTGTACTCAAGAACATTAGACAAATAAGCATCACTGATCGCTTTCTCCTTTCCTGACAATTCAGCTAAGTTGATGGCAACAAAAGAATTGTATAAATAAAGTTGTTCTTCAATATGGTTTGTAAAAGCTTCATAGTTTTCCTTGGATCCTGAAAGTATAGAGAAGATTATTTATAACATGAGGTATTATTCAATTATATATCAGTAAACTATACCATTTCAGAATACTGTAAATTCAGAAATTGATGCCTGCATTTATTTTTGTTGAACAATTGATTCAAATGTGAGATTAATTATTGCGATTTCAGGAAAAGCAGCATTGTAATAATGCTGTGAAACTTTAAATGTGAATTTTTATTTTTTTTGGGCAACCTTTCCTGTCGCATTTTTGTAATAATAAAAACATCACAAAAATTCCTGAATTTACAGTAGCACTTTTATTAATGAACTTCTTGCACTTTCCAATAAAATACACATATTTGACTTTTAAAAGCAGGTTAGAAACTCTATGAGTATATATACTGTGGATTTACTATTCATGGGGTACCAATGTTCATAGATTTCATGGGTATTAGGCTAACCAAAAATTAAAATGTTCAATAAAGAATAAATTTTCTTTAGACTTGCTGCAGACTTTGGCAAATCCATGAAATTCAATATCAAAGAAAAATACAATTTTTCACTCAATCCAGAAAAATTGATACCAAGAAAAATAAATGAATCCATACTCCATAGTAATTTGTTATACAGTTGCACAAATAAATTAAGCATTTATAACAAAACACAATCATGGCCCTTGGGGAATCTACTCAGCTAAAATTAAAAATTTTGCTCCATGCCTAAACCAAGAGCCTATGTGCGTACTGTAAAGTAACAAAATATAGACCCCTGGCTTGACATCACATCAATCCAATTGGAACGATGGTTCCAAATAAATGTGTGAGGCTATCAGGAAGCCTATGAGGCTATGTCTGAGGAAGCCTATAATGAGGCTAAGAGGAAGCCAAGTAGTGTTAATGTTGAATTGGTGTTGGAATGACTTTGTATAAAATTTGACAGTTTATCCCCAGAAATTCTTGGCGGATGAGTGAAATTTTTGAAACAGCCAGTGATAAATTTTTGATACCTCATAAGGCTGCTATATATTATGCCTAACTCAATAATAGTTTCAAATAAGATAAATAATAGCTTGAGTCCATTGACGCTTCTTATTCAGAATCAGCCGTCTTGTTTCATTTATTCTTTCTTTCATACACTTCCTTGGTCCTTATTTGCAAGAGTTATCTCCCATCCTAGTACACGGACTACACCAAAACAAAAACAATATGGTTATTTTTCAGCAATCAATCAATAACTTGTACATGTATTTGAGCAATGATTCTCTTCATTTTCGGCCAATTACAATTACATAATCACTGATAATAGCCATTTAGATTTGGAGGGTAATATTTGTACACATATTAAAAAAAAATATTCTAAGGGTACATTTAATATAAACATCATTTTAAAGTTGGATACCTTTGTGTTAAGCAAAACAAACAAGTTCATGTATTGAGTAAAACAATACATGTTTACACATTCTATAGTTGAAAAGTTTAAAGCCAAAATCTGCACAGTTCAATTACATTCAAAAACTGCATAAAACATGTATAATACACATGTAATAAGATTACAAGATTTAAACTAAACAATTAAGCCATACAAAGTTATAATCTTCAAACGCCATTTTTTTCTGTGTTTTTTTTTCTAACAAAAACTTCAGATCTTTTATCTTTCAAGCCATATAATTTTTTTAAATAGTGTTATACATGAATCGATTTCTTGACGACATATTTCTCTTTTCTTTTTTTAACAAATTGAAAGTAAGGGAAGTCGTGTATTCTCTGATAAATTCCATGAACTGTAAAAAAATTATAAGATCTTATCATGATCACCTAAGATCCTATATTCAGGTTTAACATTATCTGAAACTAATATCATAGTTTTTTAATCATATTTTAAACACATCATCTATGCTAAAGCCAGATAATTCCCCACAGATCCCCTCTCAGATTTGCAGTAAAAGGAATTGACCAAAGTGAAACAAATAAAACAGTTTCTCTAAAATATTGGCGGAGTTACGAGGGGGGGGGGGGGGGGGGGATTGGAGGGGGCACAGGGGGCACGTGCCCCCTAGTAGTCCAGGTCACCAAAAAAATTTCTAACATAATTTTATTGCTACTGAATCTGCTTATCTAGAGCGGAAATTAATCACAGCTTGATTTGACTTCTTAAACTGGCGTTAATTAACCGTATCTTCAACAACTTATCAGTGGGTGTGTAAATATTGACACCTGTGTGTAATGTCTCTTTGAAAAAGCTTTTATGAAAACTACATGCACATCTTGATTGGAATAGTAGGAATATTTTTATTGGTTTTAATACAATATTACAGATTAAGATTGATCATCAGGAAAGTAAGTAACAACTAAAATCTGTGTTTTAAAGAAGATGTTTAGTGTCAGGAATGTTGGTATCAATATGGGATATGTCTTCACAATAAAATACTCACACTACCATTTCTTGTGAATGAAATGCATTTTTTCTCCAAACTGTCCTTTATGTGACTGTCTTAAACAACAAAATTTTTATTTTCAAGGGAAACCAACAATTTGTGTTAAAAACGCCTTGCCCACCCCCTTTCCACAAAAAATGAATTGCCGTTGTTAAATATATATAATCATCAATAAAATGCTATTGTATTTTATAAGACCTACTTTATAACATAATCTGGGACTAATACATTTATCTATTAGTCCAAGCATACAGTAAATTAATATATGAATATTTGTCTTGTTTCAATTACCATGTATGAGGCTATGAATAGGTCACCATTACTGAGGATATGAATGGGGTTTACAGATAAGAGAATAATGGGCAAAAAGTTAGATTAGGAGCAGGACCTAAAACTATAGATAACAGAATAAAGAGATGATGAAATATAAAGAATAGATTAATTGATTGGTGGTTGCTTAATGTCCAGTGGCAAATATTTCATGCATGTTTAGGACGAATATAATAGAGATCAAAGAATAAAGAATAGAGTAAAATGGTAAAACTTAAAAGATATAGAAATATAGAAACAATGATCTGACCCCCCCCCCCCCCCACACACACACACCACAACCATTACCACCCACACTTGCATATATACATCCATATACAAATATCTAATTTTGGTTTCATGGTGCCCCCCCCCCCCTCCCTAGATATCGATGTTCTGGATCCACCCCTGTAAATTTTTACCACCTCAAAAATTTAATACTTTTATTAAATGGTAAATAAACTAAATTTATTCAGTATTTTCATCCATTTATATATATATCATTCAGATCTCTCAGGTTCTTCACTTATGATTTGATTTTTTTTAAATTGTTTTGCTAGCATGAGTGTTTCATGGAAATCTAAAAAAAAAAAAAAAAGAGCACAGATGCATGAATAAAAAGTTTAAAAATGAAGAGTATACAGGAACAAGTTTTTTTACTATAAATTCTCATCATAAGATCGTAAAATTAAATTAGAGAAAACATTTCAATGGCCTTTAATTACTTTTCTAATCAGAAGAGTTAATTTAAAAATGTGTTGGTTTTTTTGTTAAACAAAAAAGAGACCATTTGGCATTTTTCTTAATCCAGTAGAGGAGAGAAAATTACATTGATTTGTTCTAAAAGCCTGACAATAAATGAAATGAGTGGTACTCAGTAAAATCTGTTTACATAACTCCTGTCAATTAAGATGTAAGAATGTCACATTAATTAGGTTCTATTGATAACAAATTAACTATATCTTGTTATAATGCATGAAAACCCCTGCTGAGGGCCTCTAGGTAAATTAGATGTACCTTTTGTCCAGGTAGATTATAAATTGGAATCTTATTATAACCAGGTTTTTTACCTGTTAAATTAGTCATGGAACATCATATATTTTCACTCTCTGTGATTTTTACATTTTTGCTTCAAAATGGTAAGTTTTATATTATTTGTTTTTACCAGAAAAATTAAATTTGAAATGCCGAATATTTTGATCAATATTAATTTTTTCTTTTTTTTTCAAATTTAAATTTAATATTCTATTTCACAAAGCAGATAAGGCCATTACACTTGTAATCTTATAAATAAGATTTAAAAAAACGACCATGAAAAAGATTTTTTGAATATTGCACTTTTTTAATAACATAACTAAAACACTACCTTCAAAACTTTGTACATGGTCTGAATTGTCCCATATATCTTACAATTTAACTGATGATCTATAAAAGGTTATTAGTACAAAAATGAAAATAAATAAATAAATAGATATCTTGGGGAAGAATTGCTGAAAAAAAATGCTTGAAGTTGATGAAGTGGGAGGTAACCCACTGAAATTCTTTTTTATTATACAGCAGAATTACATGATTGTTTTTAATAAGAAAAAAATAAGGATTTTAATAGTTAATCCCACTATTCAAACTGCAGGAAAAGCAATGAAACTTAAAATTATCACAACAAACGAACAGCACAAATGTATTTTACTATTTTAAGAAAAAGAAATTCTGATTCATAATTGAAAAAAAAAAACTAATTGGACTTCCATGTTGTAATCCTAAATGACTAATTTTCTTTGAAAACAACAGGATATGAATTTTCTTTTTATTGAGTTGATTTTAAATAAAATTTAAATCACTTATAACACTTGTGATATTGATAAATCACCTTTATTTGAACTTAATGACCAAGAAAGATAGGACAATATGCACATCTGATAACCTTTGTCATCACATTTTCCAAGGTCAAGATGTTATATCATATCACGATATCTTTTAATGTGCAAAATTTGTAATGAATCAGTTTATTGGTGAAATTTTAAAAGTCCCTTTAGTTTTGAAGGTCCATGATCTTATATGATAAATACATAGACTTTTTACAAATGTCACTCCAAACGCTGGCTTGATAGGAGCACCCCTTCTTTTTCAAAATCTGGATCTGCACCTGAGTCGTTCCTGTGTCAAGGGATATTCTGTCAATACCTATCTGCACATTATATTTACACTAGATAAAAAGCTAGAATAATACAAAAGAAGCTCAACTCAGGTTGGCCGAAGATGTTTTGAATAAAACCGTCTTTGGTGACAAATAATAAAATTTTTCTCTATCCATAACATAAAAATTAACAAATTTCAATCGGAAATAGCAGCAGCCCCAAAAAGGTATATATGCATTTAAAAAAGATTGCAATTTATGACTGATAAAATTTCTTTTGGGAAGTCCCTTTTATTCCTAATTTTCATACTTGACAGACAATTAGCATTAATTATGATGTCCCAATTTTACTTATGTAGTATACTGTGAAGAAAACAATAAATACAATTTATGTTCATTAATTGACAAGACATTTATAAATCATATACTGTATAGGTGTTAGACAAGCCATTCTGGTGTCATTGACAGGTCGAAATCTTTAGATACAATTACAGTTTTGTTTTAAAGGAGAGGGTTACTACTTAAAAAATCAAATATTTACTTTATTTATACTAAACTTTCTTAATGGAAAAGCCTTAAATGTAAAGTTAACAAGGGTCTATTATAATGGAAAAAGGGGGGTAACTCCTTTAAATGTTCACACATATGGTCCCAAAACCTTAATCAAAACATGGAAATAACATTTTATCACTATTTGACTTTATACAACCAGCAACTTACTGCCAATATGGCTACTTGTGATTCAAGATCATGGAAAGACAGGATATGAATTCATGAAAATAAAAAACAATACAATAATTGAAAAAAAATCCAATGACAAAATTTTTCAATGACACAATCCAAACCAAACATTAAGTAAGTTGAAATCGTCCAACTTGTGGAGAACTCTTATTCTTGAACATTAAAGGATCAGTACACAATGTATTTATAACATCTGGAATGTTGCTGAGGTTCAATACCCTTTTGTTTTAAATAAGTGATTAAATGATATAAAGCTTGAATCAGCAACTTATATTTCTAATTAATTTGAGAATGTGAAGTACTGGTATTCAGGTAAAAAGCCAAAACTTAATCTAATCTACAAAAAAATCAGTTTTTTATACTTAACAAAAGAATCTAAAATCTCTGCCCCAGGCTAATCAGTTAATTCTTATTTATTTCAAAGAAAAAACATGATAATTGATAGAAGACAAGAGAACGTGTTAAAAACTATTAACAGTTATACAGACTACACAAAAGTTATTTTTTTAGCATTTCTGTATCAATTTCAATCCATTGTTCTGCCATTTTGATAATCTTTTGTGGTATTCAGCTTGACTATGTTAATTCAGCATAAATTATATAACATTACTACCATTGTAATGACATGAATAAAATGTCATTCTATACATATTTTTTTTAATTTGCATACTATTGTGACTTAAATAATGGTGTAAGTAATTCAATAGCCTAAATGTCTACTTCTCTCTAATTACTTTGTATTCAAAGCACTTGTAAAACTTACATAAGATTGTATCATATTTTTTTGATATCCTTGTTAGGAAATAAAGAAAAAAGACCTTTGACCATAAGGAAGATTATATATGTATAGTTTAATCAATCATTTCTGCAAAAGGATGGAGTCCCCAATTTAAGTACAATTTCAATATGATTCTTTCTAAGCTAGCAGACTGAAACTGAAAATGTGAAATTGCATAGGCATGATGAAAGGGCTTTCCCCTGTAAATATTGCTCTAAAAAGTGAAATGTAACAAGAAAAGAAATGTTTAACCTTTAAAAAACAAAAAACCTTTCTACAATCTCATTTTGCCAAAAAAAACCCTGAAAATAATCCTGTTACCACTGGACATTTTCGACAAGATAGATTCATCAACGGACTAAGTCAGATCATTTGCAGATATTATTAGGGAGGGGGGTTACTTTGGACTAATTGCAATGTGAAGGACGCACGGTGTAATAATTTCCATCGGACGTGTCATTGTATTATATCAAGATCAAGATGTTAAATATTCGTAATTTATATCTGGGTCTTTTTTTATTGCTTTCAATCAAATTTTATTTTCATCTTTTTCTATGGTATTGTTAATCTAACCATTCTTTAATTAGACATCAAATTTTATCAGATTAAGGGGCTTGAGCATATGTGAAAAATTTCGTGGAATCCAAATATAGATCAACACTACAAGTACTTTAAATGAACTGTGACAATCCTTAAAAGCTTGGTATAAACATTTAACATTATGTATGTGATCAATACAAATTATGTCACAAGCAAATGCAGTTTGACATTTAAAAAGACAAAGTAAATCTTTAAATACAATGCTATAATCTTTGTAGGCTCATTTATGCACCATGAAAACTTCCTTCAGTCTCCAATGAAGCAAGTACCAAATTTAATAGTTCATTGCTCTTTACATATCGCTTTTTATCTAAGTTAATTAAATTCTGCATATTTCAATAAAGCATGTTCGTTGATTATACAGTCACCTGATTTTAACACTTTTATAGTATATACATATAAATATTGATAACATGTACATAATACTATTTGACATCTTGACTCATGCAAGAGGACTTGTTCATTTAAATTTATATCTAGTAGATCAACAGTGGGTGGACCTGCATTATAGAGTAATAAAACAAATTCTGCATATTTCAATAAAGCATGTTTGTTGATTATACAGTCACCTGATTTTAACACTTTTATAGTATATACATATACATATTGATAACATATACATAATACTATTTCACATCTTGACTAATGCCAGAGAACTTTCTTGTTTATATCTATAGATTAACAGTGGCTGGACCTGCATTATAAAGTAATAAAACAAAAACTTAAAAAAAGTACTGGAATAGAAACAACAAAAAATATCTTTATACAAAAAAATGTAAAATATGTATCATTATACTAAACAACCACTTCTTAAACTTATTGCTGTTCAAGCAATGCCTAACACTACAATTTATGCTTAAACCTTCTTCAAAGCTATCTGATCATTTCACTTTTTTAAGTGGCACAAATTTATAAAAGTGACATACAAGTCAATATAAGAGGATATGAATTCAGCAACCTTGGTAAATGAGTACTTATACCAGTAGTATACTTCAATATTCTAGCAACAAAGATAGGTTAAAAAGTTAAAATAAACACACAGATTTAATTTTAAACGAAATCTTAAAACTATAAAATGTGAAAAGTGTACATATCATTGTAATAACATATACTTTGAACTATATTAGAAAGCTAGGAATCCAAAAATGAATGCAAAGCATCTTCTTTAAACTGAGTTCTTCAAAATCAAGCATTTGAGTATATGCAGAAAGAATTTGGGAATATATATACCTGATTTATGAAGATTTTGATGTCAATATTATGGCTTTATTGTAAGTCATCAAATTCACAATTTAACTAGTAGAGAGGGAAGGCTACTAATGCTAGGTTTCATTTCTAATTTCAGATGCAGCTAAATGGACATATGATGGTGATTTAGGTAAGTTTGATAAAACAAACAAAATGATGCATGCAATGTAAGACACAGTGCAAGTGTATCTGTAACATATTAAAAATTTATTTTGACTATTCTGGTTCAAATTTATAAGTTGATGTGGTTACTGCAACTATATAGATAAACAAAAATTAAGAGAAGTGGTTTGTAACCTTTTTTTTTTTTAATTTTCAAAAATGAAAAAAATAGGGCAAATAGATGCCGTACGTAGTAAAAAAAAATCTTAATTAAATTTTGTCTGTTTTCTAATTGATTATTTACCCAACACAAAGTGAAAAGCTCTATTGCAACTATAGAAATGAAGTTTCTCTACTCAACTTTAAAAAAAAATTTCAGTCAATACTTCCAAGTTTTTCCATTTGAAACAAAAGTTATATGTAACCCATAAACACCAAAACTAAGAAAACTGGGTCTGCAAAGAGGTGGTGTATTTTTAGTGTTGCTGGGTATAAATACAAAACATTCTGTAAAATACAAGTCATACATTTCATTATAAATAGATGAATCCAATTTTCATATAAAACTTTGTCATGTTAAAATCCTGGTGACAAGAGTAATCTGTTACTGGCCAGTATGAAACATATATTTATTTTGTCAAGCAACAGTAAAAAAACTCCTAAGAGACATATTTACTTTTACATAACAAGGAAATGATTTTAAAGTTAAATGTCGACATATAACTTTGATCCAAATACAAAGTAGTAAGTCATTTTTTTCTGTTAATCTTTAAAATGATACATCAAAATATAACTGCATTTCGTAATACATTATGAAATAGTTATTTTGTAAAAACGCTAAAACATTTTGCAGGATTATGTAATTCTTTTGATACAAATTTCACAACACCGTAATTTTTCATCATGATATAACATATTGGATATTAAGGCCTGTGCAGGGTTTTTATTGACCGACTTAAACAGATTCATTTTACTTCCATGAACAGACATATCAATTCTTAATACTGTGAATTCACAAATTATTGCGTGCACTTATTATTGCAATTTTTGAAGAATGGACAAAAATGCGAGATTTATTATTGCGATTTAAGAAAAATCTGAATACAGATATCTGTATCAAATATCAGATGCGGGTTCTTATTATTGCGATACTCAACCAGTAGCATTATTCGCATTAATAAAAACCTCGCAATAATTTCTAAATTTACAGTAGTGAGATTTCAGCAAAAATATAAAATGATTAAGGGATTATAAAACACCAATTTAGTTACTTATGATTACATTAAGATTTATCACAATTTAAGTAAGTAAAATTGATGTTTTTATACCATGGCTAAAAAGTGTGATCGCATAGTATGTGAATACTAAGTACCTTAAAAAAAAAATTGATTCTATTACCAGTAGCCGTCTCATGTTTTTTATGTCGTCGTATTGGTGTCTCATTTGACCTGTAACCCACTTCTCCATTTACCGGTACTCATATCATTTTCCATATATATATACATATGAGAAAGTTATGACAATGAATTATCATTTTGAAAAATAACTTAATACATTATTTAAATATTTCTGTCATTCTTATGTATTCAAATCATAATGAGAGTCAGTAAAAATATATAAAAGATGTCAGAGATGTTTGATTACCTAATTACCAGGCCTTTCAAAATAAGCAAACCTGATATCACCCTCCAAATGATTACAAAGCATAAATATCTTTTTCATTGGGAATCATATACCACACCTCTTTATGAGGGTCTGGATGCGGGATAATGGACGAAAAATATAAAGAATAGAGAAAAATGGACCAAAAATGTAAAGAATAGAGAATAATGGGGTGCTAAAATATAACGAATAGCGAATAATGGGTAAAACATATAAAGGAAAGAGAATATATAAATGGCCTAAAATTTAAGAATACAGAAATGAAGGACCCCCTTTCACATCCTCCTTTATATTTGTATAGATTTTGATTATCAAAATGATATGACAGTAGAATCACATTTTTTATATCATAATTATCACAGAAAAATTGAGTTATTATTTGAATACTGGGTATTCTTAAATGAAAAGCCTTACTATTTCATCTTGCTACTTGCACCTATCTTAACTCAAACTCCTGACTTACCTTAAACCTAACCAACTAATAACCTTTATCATACCCTGGCCCTAAACTGAACCATAACAAAAAAAAATGTAAGGTCCACTATACTGAATGAAGGCCAAATTGGAAATAAATCTTATCAAATCAAAATTTATGTCAAACAAAAAAAAATCCATTTTTATCTACTGAATATGTGCCCTCTTTTCTTATTTTCTGTATTAAAGGTTTATTTAGTTGTAAACAAAAATAGTCATGTTAAAGGTGACCTCTGTCACCTTCAAATCCTGGTAATATATTCAGCTGAGACATCATAATGATTATTTTTTAAACACAATAATAAATGTTTCTACTTGTGTGTGTTCCTCCCAAAATTATATACCATGTTAACTAAACAATGTAGCAATATAACAATAAAGCATCTTTGACATGAGCAATTGAAATGAAGCACAAAAGTCAATATTTTCAACTATACATTAAAGAGCTCTTAAAATTGAAAATTACTGCATGACTTATCAATATATTTACATCAAATAAATGTAAACCATATTTACAAAAGTTATTGTAAAGTGTGATTACAATACAACATCATATTACTTCTCATTATCATAAATACAAAGATGTGCAAAAATTGCTGACAAGTGCAACCTATCCATCTATTCATGAAATACTACACTTCCTGCATGTTAAACAGATAAGTCATATTGTGGTTGCTGTAAAACTGAAAGGTTAAAGTCTTTGACCTTACCAACTTCCCTTTAATATTTAGTGGCAGTCAAAAGTCTTTTTAATTTTGTCTCCCATCCTGACTTATCTCCCCTATTTATATGAATAAAATAAAGTTTAGTGCATGGATAAATTTTGTACATGGGTCTGTCCTCATATTCATCCTTTAATTTTCATCTTATAATTTTTGTTATTTAGAAGGTCTTTTTTAATTCTACATACTGTAGTATAAAATGTATTAAAAAAAAATACCAAACTCCAAGGTGATTCAAAAAGGGGGAAATACATAAAACATGACAAAATCAAACGCTAGATTATAATTATCATTAAACTCAACACCATTAAATAATTTCAAATAGAGCAGTAAAATTCATATATAAATGGAAAAAGTTCATTTCTTGAATAGGCAATTTTGTAGTTGAAGGACAATATATGGTTAACTTACTAATTTATTAGATTGGGTATTTCATTTCAAACTGATGGTATAATGTTCCTAATAAAAAAATAGTGCCCAAAATAGTTTATTGAACTCTAGCATTTCTTACCAAGTGAACCCAGATTGATTTTGCATGTTTTTTAAGTTTTAAATTTGAGCATAAAGAAATTCCATCAGACAACAGGAAATTTGGAGTAAATGTAAACAACCTAGCTAAGTCTTCTGAAATTGGACTTCTATTTTGTACATTACATACCAGAAGCTGTTTTTTAAGAATTCCTATTTAGAAATTAAACAAAATATCTATTTATCAAGTTTTTCTTGCAGGTCCAAAACACTGGCATAAGCTTTTCCCAGATGGATGTTCTGGCAAACAACAGTCACCAATTGATATAACAACTAGAAGTTCAGAACATGATCCTAAATTGAAAGATTTTGCTATTTGGCATGACCCTCCAAAACCTGGATCACTATTTAAAGTGAAAAACAATGGACATTCAAGTAAGTTGTGTTTAGTGTCACAATGAATGTTTTCAAAGTACATACACTGCATATAAAAATACCATTGAATGATGATAATCTGATTACAGATAAAATTATTAGATTATACACTGTGAAATTGAAAACATTTCTATTGTTCATAATTGATTGACAGAAATATAATATACACACAAGTTCAATAGATCAGCTGTTAACCAAACACTGACAAGAGAAAAAACATTCAATTTTAACATTTGAATGGTTGGTGAAAAGTACAATCATATGCATTGACTTGTATTCAGATGATGAACAATCAATGGCATTTTTAAATGCATAGTAACAATATACATTATCAAAACTATGATGTGCCATGTGTCTCTATTGATCCCTCTCCAATGTAAAAAGCAATGGATTTTCAAGAAAATATGTCACCAATTTGCTTCTGTGAAATTGGTGAAACCATGTAAGTTTTGGTAATAAATTGAAACATTTGGAATAAATCTATTATGAAGTTTATGTAAGACCTACAACTTGAAAAATGTTACTGAGTTCTCTTCTTGGTGTTACATTTCCATACAGAAATAGCAACAACAGAAATAATTTATTGTAAACTGTAGTAGTAACACATTAATTAATTGCTCTTAAAATTTTTTTATAACTGGTATTTAATTATTTGTAGACAAAATTTGCATAACCATACATTAATTTGCATATTTTAATTCTTTAAAATTCAAAATGGAAAGTGAGTGTATTACATTGAGAAGAAGGACATGGAGAAAATATTTATAGATTTTTTGTGTGCCAAAGATTTGAACTGCTTTAAAAAAAATGAATTTTAACCTATTTATGCATACCACTTGTCAAAACATAAACAAACAGGAAAGAATAATGATCTTTTCTCCAAAAAATAAGAAAAGCGGTAGGGCCAATGTTTTACCTGAAAAATATCACACAAGGTATTTTTTCATAATGTCTTTCAAATATAACTACAATTCAAAGTATCACAAACTCAATAGTATACTTTGGAGTTCTAAAATATAGTTCCCTATTTGTAAGCAATTTCAAATGCACTAAGAAGGCTCAAAACAACACTTTTAACAGTTTTTTGGAAAATTTGAGCATTCATCCAACAGAGTGTATTGATATAATATTTGCTGTGTTTGAAAACCTTCATCAAGAATACAGGAACACTCTGTGTAAAGCTATGTGCATATGCTTTGAGAGCTTTTATAAAAAAGGCCCTAAATTTAAACAAGTTCTTCATTTACAAAAGTCATAAGAGGGCATCCGATAGAAGATTAGTAAACTAATTACATACAGAATTTATTATCTTCATTACCATATTTGAGTAATTATAACTTTTTAGTCATATTGTATGCTACAAAATTATCACACCTGAAATCCCTACATTTTGTTTGCTTTATTAATGAAAATATTGTTTCTCATATTTCAGTAACTATTGAGACTTTAGGACCATTTCATGTGACAAATGGTGGTCTACCAGCAGTTTATTCAACAGCCCAGTTTCACTTTCACTGGGGCCATGCTAATCATCAAGGCTCAGAGCATCTCATTGACAGCAGAGCAAGCCCCCTTGAGGTAATTTGATATAGAAATCAACCAAAAACCCTAAGAATTCTGATAGTGTTCTAATCATGTCAATGTATATGGCACACCATTTACACAATAAAAATGATTAAAAAAGTCATAGTTGTACCTTAAATTGCCAAACACAAATTCCCTTAAAATAGGATGCAACATTAACAAAACGATGAAAAATGTTTATATTACATAAAGAAGCATCTTTTGAATCATAGCACTGAAATTCAAAATGAAGAAAAAGAAAGCATTTAGAAAATATTATTGCAAGCATACACAGAGATAGCTGTTGAACAAAAGCTCATATGGTCCTTGTGATATTTTTTTTCTTCAATTAATGGATTATTAAAATATATCAAAAGGACCATAACAGCTACAGCTCTGCACCTGAGAGAGAAAGACAGAAAGAGGGAGAGAGAGAAATATCTTAAGTGTTTCAGCGAGTCAAGAAGTTTCATTGAAATGCTTAGAAATGATTGAAAGGATTTTAATTTAAATAGCAGTACATCCTTAGTTGTATTTTTAATTTTTACATCTTTATTTCAGTTACATGTTGTTAACTATGACAGCGACAACTACCAAAGTCTACCAATGGCCATGGTAAAACCTCAAGGATTGGCAGTATTAGGGGTTATGTATGAGGTATGCTTAATAAATCATAGCCATATATACCTTATTTTAAAGGTGTTTTCTAGAATAACATTTAACAGAAATGCTCAGAGCATAAATTTGGAAAGGGAAAGATAAAATTAGAGGGTTGATGGAGGGTGAATATTATCAAATGCAGTCTATAAAAGATCATATGGATATATATGGACAAATATTTGACAGGTCAGGCTAAGCAGCAAATATATGAACCTAATTGTGACCTATGTCAATATAAGCCCTTTCAGTCTTTAAGTTAGTTATCCATTTCTCAAGGTTTTTTTTATTGATTGGAAAGGCTAGTTCAAACAGTTTATTAATTGAGCAACTTACAAAATTCAATATTGAATTAATTCATTAAAAAACATAAACATGCTGTTAGTCTCACTATAAACAATTAAAATAATTTACTATCATTTATTTATGATGATTTTTGTGGGGTTTTTTTTTCTTTTCCCAGAGGTGGGCATCTTATTGACAAATATCCAACTGCTCTTATTGTTTACATTCAAATAAACTATAACAGATTATCTCTATTATCAACTTAAATATACAATTTCAATATTCCTGAAATTTCTAGAAACCAACAAATTTTATTTCTAAATTGTTATTTCAGTGGGGAGAAGTAGTTTTAAATCACATTGTTTTGAGTAAACAAAACTACTTTTTTTATCATGGTATCTGGATAGGACTTGAAACCATTAAACATGTAATAAATTTGTCAGATTTATTTGGTGAAAATAAAAACCATGTCTGAACCACCATAAGATTTTTGTTTTCTCATAAATCATGACATGTATGTTTGTTTCCTTTTTTATATATTTTAAAAGTGTAAATAAATTAGATAAGTATAAATAATTTATATCTAAATTGTCCTCTAAAATTTGTATCAAGTAATCTTGAAAAAATATACCTGTGAAAAGTTCATTTGGTGCAGTACTGTAGTATCGACATGTATTACAATATCTTTTATGTATTTGTATGAAATTAAAGTGCTTTCATTTGTCTGCAATCTATGATTTTCCAACCCTAATATCTATTTGCAAAAGCTATGTTTAATACAGATAAGCAGAGTTTCCTCAAAATAGTCTAAACATGATAGGGGGAGGGGGTCAAAATCAGAAGTCTGAGAAAGACAAGGCCAAAAGAAAAAAAAAAACAACAAAAAAAAAACAGCAAAACTAATGCCATCAAAAACAATTTTAAAAGTCCCAAAAAAATTACTTTTGCATGATTCTTAAGGAAGTTCAACAAAGTTCAATATGTTGGATTGCAAAGAAATACTAAACAAAAAAGTGCCCAATTTTTTCATTGGCACCTATACCTTACCACAATTGCGAGGTTTGTCCTGATCAATTTTAATTGTTGACTTTCTGTACCACTTTGAAGGCTTTTTTTCACAAAAAAGATAAGTGTACTAAAAGGCTCAAAGAAAGCAAATTATCTGTGAACTTCTAAACAATTTTTTGCTAGAGGTAAGGTTTAGGAAATTAGGAGATGGCTAAATCACTGGTAGCTGGCACATATTGAGAACCTTGGTAGTGTACTATTTGTTAAATGTTTATTTTAATGGACTAAACACAGGGACCAGACGGGTTTGTCCTATAACACAAGCCTTGTTGAGGGGAATTGTTTTGCCCTTTTGAGTAACAAGAGTCAAAATATTTGGCCATTTATCAACATGGCCATCAGCATAGCTGTTGTTAGCATTTCCAATTAGTTACTTATTTTATCCACATTTAATTCCAGTTTATTAATTTGGACAAATGTTTGAAAACTGGACATTCCCTGTTTCCATTCTCAATTATAAGAATTAATTTCAGTATAAATTTTTTTTTAATTTCAGATTGGTGAAGAAGATAATGCAGCCTTAGAACCAATCATACAGGCGATGAAACATGTTGAAGATCCAGGTAAGATATGATATCATTTTTAATTCTTCAGGGTCTCATTTCTTTATTCTTTAATATTTTAGACCATTTTTCTCTATTTTTCATACTTTAGCTACCCAAAATTCTCTATTTTATCATTGTTTTCTATTCTTTATTTTTATTGCCCTTTATTCTGCACTTTTTCCACACTATTCTCTATTCTGTAAAACCCATCTTATCTTATACTGTCAGCCTCTACTGGCAATATATGTGTGAGTGACACTGTGACTTCATTCCAGAATTTATCTTCATCTAATATTAAATCCAGCTAGTACTCAATGTCATTAGCTTGACCTAAGTATATGTATGTACTTGTTTTTGATATTTTCGTTCTTTGTACTGAAAGTGCATGTAATATCTAAAATTAAAAGTATAACTTATAATAGCCATCGACCCTCAGAATGGAACATAAAGTAAAGGAAATCAACAAACCAGCAAACTTAATTAAAAGGTAATAGATGGCCTTAAAATGACTAGGATTCATTAACAGGACAAAAAAAAAGATATGATACAAGATAAAGATGAAAAAGAATAATAAAATTATTATGTAGAACACAATATAAAGACAAATGTTTTGGAGCAAACAAATTGCCTTACTCAGTGTTGATACTAATAATATATTTATAAATAATGAACTTCCAAACATAATTTTATATTTCTATTTTGCAGAGGATGGGCATGATCATGAAATTCCAGCCCAGCGAATCAGAAACTTCCTTCCTGAAGACACATCTAAGTACTACCGATACAATGGCTCTCTGACAACACCTGGATGTTTCGAGAGTGTTATCTGGACAGTTTTTCATGACCCAATGTACATTTCACTCAGACAGGTTCGTTTAATAAAAAGCATCAGCAAAAAGACAAATTAACATTTTCCTATGTCCAAGAGTTAATCTTCTAATCTCCCTGCTTTGATTTTCTAATATCTTCACAAAGAACCATAGAAATTCGTTTAAAGTTACGTTTCTGTTATATATTAGTCTTCTGACAACAGGTTCTGACATATGAATGGAAAATAAAAAATTAAGCTTTTGTCAAGTGTAAACTTTGCCTACCATATTTCCATTTAAAGTAAAGCATTGTTTTTTTGCAGATGATGGCATTTAGAAAAATTCTACAAAACAAAAGACATAAAGGTAAAAAACATCATAAACGTGAAACAAAAGATGAAAAACTGGTAGAGGAAGTATTGGAAGAGTCTGGTATGGCAGGAGACAAGCTTCAACAAATGGAGCTAGAGATGACACTTGAGGAGGACAAGGCTAAAGATAATGTACCAACAGAAACTCCTATATTAGGAGAACCACCAAAGAAGTTTTACCTACACCATGGGGAAAATCCAAACACAGATAAGATGCAGAATGTGAGTCAAAGTGGCCAGGAACAGTCTTATCATACAGAATCTGAAAGTGAAAAACGTCTAGAAAAGATTGTTGTGAAGCTAGAACATGAAAATGAACAACTGATTGAAGAGATTGAGAGACTTAAACTAGTCGACAATTTTAGGCCAGTTCAACCCTTAAATGGAAGAAAAATATATAGAAGTTTTGATAGTTTTGTAAGAAAACCGGCCTCACAGGAGATTAAAGATAGCACAGAACCATGTAACTCATCTATAAAAATTCTATCATCATGGACTGTATTACTGGTAACAATTTTCTTATCATTTTTAAGATGAGATGAATAATTTCATTAATATTTTGAAAAAATCAAAGATATTGTCCAACAAGAAGGAAAAAATATAGGAAGAAATACAATAGCACAGGAAAATCCATTATCATATGATATCATTACAAAATTTATTTTAGGATATTGAATATGTTTTAATAATCAAGTTTTAACTCATTCTCTATGTACATTAACACATATATGAAAATCTAGTGTCATATAACAGGAATTAAGGCATTTTTTTTATACCATTATGAAATTTTATGTATATTTTACTACATATACTTGGAAAAGCATCTCAGATTATAGCTCCTTAGAACAAGGGGTATATCCAATGGCTATTTATGCTTTTTAATTGAGGAAAAGTATAATGTATAAATGTACAAAAATCTTGTATTCATGAACTGTTGTTTTTGTAAATATTTTTATGTGATATCAGTGTGTGTCAAACTTTTTACCTTATACAGATTTTATTTTATGGAGATTTACTTGATTAAAAAGGTTGAAAAAAATAAACGTGCTTGTTTCTTTTTAATTAGATCTGAAGGTCAATGACAACATTTGCTGTCTAGTGTCATGAGTTTGTACTTATCTGGCTTCCCATACTTTTGATCACTTTTTGAAAATCCAGTAAAGCAGTGATTTGTATGCAACAAATTTGTTAAGTCATAAGACATTAAGCTTTCTTTAGAGTATGTGTATGCAATACAATTACAAACATTAGCGTTGAAGAGCTTTTAAAATCGACAAAACAAAAGCACATCCAACCATACATACATAACAAGACATGCACAAATACAATTAAACATAGACAGCAAGAGTTCATATAAAATTAATCCTGCATATAACATAAAATTTCTATTAAGCAGCTTAAACACACATATGGGGTAAATCAAAATGCAAAGGTAAAAGGGCTGGCAACATAAAAAAAGCACATAGAGATTAGTTAAATAAACAAAATAAACAATATCATCAATAAATGAAAGGCAAAGCTTGATACGTTTTTTGGCATGTTCATTACTTCATCCAAAGAATTTGTCCAACCCAGCCAATCTGCATGTATGAAGGGACAAACAAACTGATGGATGAGTGTTTAATAAATGATGATGAAGGATGCAGCTTAATACATTATCATTTTTGCTTCAACCAGTACAAATATGCCACTGAAACTTCATGAACATCATTGCATTGTATGTAACTATTTTCAATATAATAATGAAGGAGATGTCCTAACAATGATTCTTGTGGCTTGATAAAAAAAAATCTGTTGTGGTTGTGGTTTACAGAATAGAGAATAATGGGCAAAAAAATTTAAAGAATGGAGAAAAATGGACCAAAAAAATAAAGGATAGAGAGTATTGAGGTTCTAAAATATAAAGAATAGAGAATAATGGGCAAAAAGTATAAAGAATAGAGAAAAATGGCATAAAAAACTAAAGAATACAAAAAAGGGCTGGCAACATAAAAAAAGCACATAGAGATTAGTTAAATAAACAAAATAAACAATATCATCAATAAATGAAGGCCAAAGCTTGATACGTTTTTTGGCATGTTCATTACTTCATCCAAAGAATTTGTCCAACCCAGCCAATCTGCATGTATGAAGGGACAAACAAACTGATGGATGAGTGTTTAATAAATGATGATGAAGGATGCAGCTTAATACATTATCATTTTTGCTTCAACCAGTACAAATATGCCACTGAAACTTCATGAACATCATTGCATTGTATGTAACTATTTTCAATATAATAATGAATGAGATGTCCTAACAATGATTCTTGTGGCTTTATAAAAAAAATCTGTTGATGAATCACAGGTTATAAAAGAGGTTGTGGATGGGGTTTACAGAAAAGAGAATAATGAGCAAAAAATTAAAAGAATGGAGAAAAATGGACCAAAAAAATTAAGGATAAAGAGTATTGAGGTTCTAAAATATAAAGAATAGAGAATAATGGGCAAAAAGTATAAAGAATAGAGAAAAATGTCATAAAAAACTAAAGAATACAAAAATGAAGGACCCCCCCCCCCCCCCCATTCAGACCCTCATAAAAATCTGTGGAAAAGTTCCTTGTAGTTGTGTATAAACTCGTAACTTTTAAGAGTTATGAACTTTAACCCTTTGTCTACCTCCTTAAATTGTGTTGAAGTTAAATCTTTGTTTGCAGCAGTTTTGTTTTCAATATAGGAGTAGTTTGTGTACACTGCTTGTACCTGTGATTCCAGGTTCACAAGTAGCCTTCAAAATAAAGAAAAATGTGGTACTATTGCCAATGAGACAACTGTAACCCATAAAAATCCAAATAACATGGATGTTAGCAACTATAGATAACTGCATCACCTGCAACAATGGGTAAAACCATATCCTATATTCAACTATAAAAGGTTCTGACATAACAAAATATGAAACAAGTCATAAACTTTCATCATTCATTGGAGGCCGAATGTTGACCTCTGGGTGTGGTCCTTTTATTTTTGCATTGTTGTTAGGTTGCTGTCTCACTGATGTATGCTCAATACTTCTATTATTCATAATATTAAAGGGTAATAAACAAACTGCTACAAACAGAGACTCCAACATAAATCAAGTGTAAACAAAATGATGAACATTATTCCAGATGTGCATGCTGTCTTTCATTAACTAATGAAGGCAAAACTTGATACGTTTTTGTGTTCTTTACTTCATCCAAAAAATTTGCCCAACCTTGCCAATCTTCATGTATGAAGGGACAAAAAAACTGATGGATGAGTGGTTAATAAATGTTAATGCAGAATGCAGCTTAATGCAACATCTGTAGGCAAATAGGAGCTTAATCATGCATCATTTTTCCTGCAATGGCAGATTCTGCTTGAAAAGTAAGATAGCGAAAATAACCATCCAACCTGGACTATGAATTTGAATTACTGGTAATATTTTTGATTTGCCCTTTTAACCCACTTATTTCTTAGAACCAATTTATTTGTAAAGGATGAAGGCATATACATTTTTTCTCCACGGAATTTTTTGGAACAAACACATCAAAATTCTGCCTTACATAAAAATATGACTTCATGAATTCCTCATAGAAACTATTGTATAGTGAGTACAAATATAACTTGTTTGATATCTTAAATGATCAAGAACATGAGTAAACTTGAGAATGGAAATGGGGAATGTGTCAAAGAGACAACAACCCAACCAAAGAGCAGAGTACATAGTTAAAGAAACACATGAAGAAACATCTAATACATAAATGAAGAATTATTATCCTGTTTTGTGATAGAGAAAGAACAACTGGTTATATAGGATGGATTTCACATCCAGAGACTAAATGGCATCCTGTAGGACATAAACTATAACTTTTTAGAGAATTTCAACATATCCCATTTTCTCTGAATCATATAATATGAAACTAAAATTATTTCTTTTCACAGCAGCATTGCACACAGTTTTAAAAGAGGTGAGGTTACAATATTACAAATCCAATTATCAGAAAATAATTGGTTTTAGAACTCATTCTTATCAATATAGAAATTCTGAAAATTTTGTAATTTTAATTACAAATGTCGCTTGTAGCATACATACATATACAACTGCTTAATTACATGTACTCTTTTACACTTTACAAAACTGCCACCAGAAATAAACAGTAAAATCTATTTCTCTTTCTCAATAACACCCATTAACAATGAGCTGGAAGAAAATTTGAAAGGAAATCAGTGTTAAATTCATTACAATTCTCTAGATAATTTTCGTAATTAATCTTAATTAGACAAATCCTGTTGAAAACGAAATTTGCATAACTTGGAATACTAGTAGTTATTTTCACAAATTAAAGCTAGCTTAAAGTAGAAACATTTATAAATGTCTGAGCTAAAAAGCAATAATGCTTAATTATTCATTTCATATTGAATCAAGAGATATTCTAAAACAATAAAATTATCATTTAAGCACTTGAGATTATTCTGTGCAAATAGGTGCAATTATTTCTAAAACCAGTCCCAAATAATAGAAATGCAACATTCTAAAATGACATATGGCATTATCATTAGAAAATTCCTAAAATATTGTTATTTTTAAAGTGCTGTTTTTTCTTTTGCTTTTGTAAAATCAAAACAAGATGTGTAATTTTGTTAAAATAACCCACAAAAGCTGAGAGAGGGTATATATCATTTTCTGGTAAGAGATGTATTCACTATCCAGAGAGAGGGTATATATCATTTTCTGGTAACAGATGTATTCACTATCCAGAGAGAGGGTATATATCATTTTCTGGTAACAGATGTATTCACTATCCAGAGAGAGGGTATATATCATTTTCTGGTAACAGATGTATTCACTATCCAGAGAGAGGGTATATATCATTTTCTGGTAACAGATGTATTCACTATCCAGAGAGAGGGTATATATCATTTTCTGGTAACAGATGTATTCACTATCCAGAGAGAGGGTATATTTCATTTTCTGGTAACAGATGTATTCACTATCCAGAGAGAGGGTATATATCATTTTCTGGTAACAGATGTTTTCACTATCCAGTTGTTTAGATTTCGTTATAAAGAATAAAAGAGGAGTTATGATATGAGCCATTTCCTTGTTCTTGAAATTGTCACAAAAGACTCACTAAGAGCCTAAGTTGCTAAAATGGCAAAAATATGCAATTTTGATATTCATTTTCACCTTTGTAAACAATCTATTCTTTTTCTGGAATCAAATTAATTTTTTTTAGCTTTCAAGTTTATATGCATTCATATAAAATCAAGGTACTGGTATAAAATAATTGTTTTTTCTTCAGTAACAGGATTCAGATATTTACTTGCACAAAATTCAGAACAAAAATAAGTATGGAAGTTATTTACAAAGTCTTTAAAGCTCTCCCATAGTCAAATTTCCTCCTGCCACTTAACAGTCATCATAATAAAATAAATGATTTTAACATGATATGGTTACGAAATCTTGCATACAAAGTCACCTAGGACTCCAATAATCCCTTCATTTATTTAAAAAAGACCAAAAATAAAATTCCCAAGTCATATGGTTGCTATGTACTTTTCAAAGTCATTATTGATTTGAGAGTTCCAGGAAATTAACCAAAATGGGAATATTCACAGCTTGTAAATATGATGATTCCCAAAATATATGGTTTCTCAAAGATAGAATCCTTTGAAATCCAATTATTCCATATAAAAGCTTGGGTCAATACATTTATGTTGCTAGCTACCTTTCTTAAAAAGTAATGGGTATGAGAGTCTGTCAGGAAATTTATCAAATTTGGAACATGTCCTTTTGAAAGGAGTAGGTCCAGTAAGACCCCTTTTTGGCCCCAAAATATAGCAGTTTTACAAAATTGTTAAAATGTAAACTTTTAGCTATTTAATAGAAAGTAGAATACTTCTGTTACATAAACATGGGCTGTTTTTGACAATACAATGCACATGTATCTGGTAATAGCATCATTAAGTCATGTCACATTACTGAAATCTTCCAAATTTTAGCATTTTGGTTAATTTTTAGACGGTTTTCGTCTAAAATGGAA